GGGAAACACTAATGTACATAGAGATACGAGATCACTGTCGTCACAGGTTTCTTGAATACTGAAAAGGCCTGACATGACTGTGGCGACATCCATTGCTTTTCTGCCCATACTCAGCTTCATAAGCCTCATGAGGTTTGTTACCAACATCTACCATTTTTGATATCCTTAGATATATCAGTGCAAACCAAGGCCCCAGTGAGTTACTATGGTCATTTGTGATCAATCAGTTCATTAATTTATCGATAACCAATCAATTGTATTTTAACTTTTTCCCTATAGAATCAGGTAAAATGTTTTGCAAATGACATATTCAACTTTCTAGGTAAAACAGTTTTGATCTAAGGTATTTTATGAAGTGAAGCTTTATTGCATATTAACATTGTAGTTAATTACGGTTCCATGCCTTCTGGTGTTCTTTACATTATTTTTTGCATTAACATTGCTCTATAAGAATATGTATAATAGAATGTATGATGACATAGAAATGTAAAATATGATGGAAATGTGTGAAAAGCTAAGCTGTTGTTCAGATCACAACAAAGTTCCCATGTTAGCATGACTCAGGGCCTCTGTCCAGCCCTAGAGATTACTGCAGTAAAATAAAAAGTCTCTCATGTTTGGACAGTATTTGGCACTGACCCATTATCCCACTTACCCACTGGCCTGCTCACCCTCCAAATGGCCCAGTGTCTGGCTCTTTCAACTACATACTCTCTGATGCTCACACAACCACAGGGGTAAGAGGCTACTAGCTGGATCAGAAGCTCACTTACCAACTCTCTTATCAACTCACCCACTCACCCACTTGTGCACACAACTAGTATCTCCCACTCTCTCTCTCACCCACCCAGATAAGAGGCAGCTTAACAGGGTTGGGTGGTCACACACCAACTCACTCATTAACTCACCAAATCAACTAGATATCAACTTACCCAATCATCAACAGCTAAAGGTAAAGTACTTAACAATCAAGCAAAATAAAAGCAAGAGCAAGAGAAATTCTCGGCTGAGTTAATGTTGATATCACTTGTTAAACAATGCTTTAGTGGTGTGTTTGGATTGAAAGTGTTTATCATAATAGAATGCCCTCATTATAATACTTTCGGCAATGGAATCCATTACCATTATTTGGGTGAATGTGGGTATAGTGCATGTGACTTGATTTTTATGTTGTTCAAACTGAATTTTCCTCTTCTTTGCATTGTGCCTTGCTGTCAGTTCTGTCAGTACCGTAAATAGAATTGATAAAAGCAGCTTTTTGTATTCTGAGTCATAATAACTGCAATAATATCTGACACAGTGATCTAGTCTCTGTTTCCTCCTCTTGGTGGTAGCTGCGTCACCTGATGCAGTTTATCAGTTTAATATTTGAAATTTTATTTCTCTATACGTGCTGTGTATGGTATGAAATTACTACATGTTTGCATTTATCTTGAGTTTCGTTCTGGCTTTTCAAGGATTAGCTCCATTTGAATAGTTTAAGTGAATGACACCATGAAGATCCAGGTTAGGTTTGTCTTCAGCAACTCTGGGTTTTAAGAGGAAAGATTTCCACTGGTAACACCCATATTTTTTCAAATCATTCTATGCCTAAGAATACAGGCCAATGTTTTTTATAATAGTTTCAAGCAGGGCCAATGTTTTTTATAATAAGCCGAAACCGTATCCTAAACCCTCGAAATAATCCTAATAAATAGAATACATTTCAAGCAGGGATTACGGGCAGAACTCTTACCTAAATGTAAGATGGCACCAACAAGATCGATAATACATGTCATTCGTTGCAAGCTCCAATCAAGTCACATTTTCATTGTCAGTTTTGATATGTTATACAAAATTCAATATTTATTAATAAATTTAATCAATTTGTGGGGTACATTAATCTAAAGTAGTCACATTCCAAAGTAGTCCCTGCTGATTTTTCCTGCAAGTGTCACTATAGGTCTGACTCACTGCCTCAGGACCAGTGAGCATGTTGATACAACTTCCTCCTTGTAGACTGGTAACTTGAAATTCTGCTTGGTAAATAGTGTGATTATCTGAATGTGCATATTCTTATTACGTATATGAATATACCAATATTCACAAAACCCCTTTCATCACGATATGGCTGAAATATTGTCGATGTGACATTAACTAACTCACTCACTAAACCCCTTGGACTGCCGTTAGAGAATCCAGGCTTCAGAAAGGCCGTGCTGTATGTTTGTATATTGTATAGCTATGTGTGTAAGCTAAAGGAGAATGTACACAGGACACCACAATGAGTGACACTCACTTCCTGGTTGGCTAGGTTGGGCTGTATACCCTGTGTATTCAGATAACACAGCTTTCATTTCACTGTGAAAACTGGGCTCTGAATAGCACGAAGCAATGCATCACTGTCACACTTGAATTGAGCCTGCGAATCTATATAGTGTTATATAATACTGTTCCGATATCGTATGTCTGCAGTTTTCTCTGTATCAACAATTGTACCAAAGATAACTGTCCTATCAGTAGGCTTCTATGCATGGTCAACACATTATTCAACATGGCTGCGAACACTATGTGGCTATATTTATATCAAGGAAGTGACTGATGAGGTACTTTGTAAATGAGCTAATGAATCCATTGGCTCTAGATTTGAGGTTTAAGTGGTGAAGAACCTTGTTTTGTCAGGGTTAAAAATAAATTTCAAATATCTTCTGCTACAGAGATGCATTGCTGAAAGTGGTGGTCCACAAGGAAATGCCACTAGTCCTTACTAAATACTGGTATCAGATTAGTGGACTTATGTTAATTTATTTCCTGCTGGTTCATTTACCCCAGATCTGTATAACTTTTATGGGTGCCTGTCATTTTTTTATGACTTAGGCAGTATGAGAAATAACATTTGATAATGTCAAATCGTCACCTTTTTTTTATTTTGTCAAAATGAGGTGAGGTGAGGTGAAATTGGGTTTAACGTCGTACTTGTGAATATTTCGCTCAGATGATGACATGCATGCATGTATATGTGTATGTTCGGCTGCTTGTACTAGCCCAGACTGAAGCTGGTTTTATAGTGCTAGCCCACTGAGATACCATGAGGTGAGGTGAGGTGAGGTGAAACTGTGTTTTACGTCGTGCTTGAGAATATTTTGCTCATATGACGATGTGCATGTGTGTGCATGTGTATGTGCGGCTGCTTGTACTAGCCCAGACTTAAGCTGGTTTTATAGTGCTAGCCCACTGAGATACCATGCCGCAGTGAAGCATGAATACCCCACTCAGACACATTATACTGACTCCGAGCCAACCAGTCCTTGTTGTATCCATTAATGCCAAGCGCCAGGCAGGGACCAACAAGTACCATATTTTAACGTCTTTTGGTATGACGTGGTCGGGGATCGAACCCACGACGTTCCTCTCTCCGGGCGGACGCTCTAACCACTACACCACGGAGGCAGTGTTTGTCAATTTGAAGTAACATGAAAGTCTTCTGTACCAATTTCTTAAAGCTACAAATTCAGAATATAAGAACTTCTGGAGCAAGGTACGGGAGGGTTGGCTATTGATATAGGTCATAGACATTGGTAATCGTAAACTAAACATCGATTGATTATTGATAAATATCAGAGAAGTAAGTTTAAGTAGAAGTTCCCAAAATCAATAAGACAAGTATATGGATGGCAACTTCTTATTTATGTTATATATTTATTTTCTTAGGGGAAAGAATAAGTCCAGAAATGTTGTTGTATCCGATAAATAAGAAGTTGCCATCCATATACTTGTCACCAACTTCTAAACATGAAATGCCCCTCAAGAATTTGCCCCAAATCAATCACCATATTTCACATCACTGGTAAGTGGTGACATGTAGTCTTGGATTACTAATAAAACACCTTCCTGAACATAGTTTCGAAGCAACCCATGAATAAGGACCTAACTTTGTGTTTTGTATGAGTAAAACAAAACTATATTTCATCACAATAGTTAATGTATGATATAATCGATGGCACAATTTTCATATTGAAAACCATTAATGATTTTTGCAATGACAATATTTAGGAGATAAACAATCATGTGTTGGCCAATTTCCAGGTGTTATTGAGTATTTGAAGCACGGGAATTCATTTGGAACCCACAGCATCACCTGGAGGTTTCAAATGAAATATTCCCATGTTTCAAATACTCAATAACACCTGGAAATTGGCCAACACATAATGTTTATCGACATTGTAAACACAAAAGTAAACTAAAAGGTCCACACATGTTTTTGTGTCTGCACTCATTGACATCGAGTACGGGTACAGCAGTGAAATGTCATCAGCCAGCTGTTTCGGCTGTCTCCTATGGTAGCATCTGGAACTGCTCATTTGTGACGTGATTCAGAATTTACGTAACAATTTGATTTGAATGACGTCATCACAGCTGACGACATAACAATACAATGGTGTGAGCGATGTTTGTATGTATGAATACACAGCGAATGTCCGGGAATCGAATACCATTCGGTTATGTTTTTCAACCAATCAGATTAAAGAACACACTGAATTTGGTTTACAATTCTGATTATAAATCTTTTTAGCCAGCCCTACTTTCAGGTGAGCTACAGCATCTTGTATGGAGGGCTCGGCATTAATGGGTTTCAGAATTACAACAAGGACTGGTTGGCTCGGAGTCAGTATAATGTGTCTGAGTGGGGTATTCATGCTTCACTGCGGCATGGTATCTCATTGGGCTAGCACTATAAAACCAGCTTCAGTCTGGGCTAGTACAAGCAGCCGCACATACACATACACGCATGCACGTCGTCATATGAGCGAAATATTCTTAAGTACGACGTTAAACCCAATTTCACCTCACCTCACCTCACCTCACCTTGTATTCACATTTGACTGATTAGTAATGAAAGCATCTATTGAAGTTCAGTCAGTAGATCTAAATGAGTCTGTTGATGTTTTGTGTAATGTCAGAATAAGCAGGTGAGCACCTTGTCTGTATTTGATTATTGAACATTACCTCTGTTGTTGTAGGTGCCACAGCGAAGCTGTTGAATGCGCTGTACGATTATGAGGCCCGCTCTAATGATGACCTGTCCTTCAGGAAAGGGGACCAGATGGAGCTGCTTGATGACAGGTAGGGTTAGTGAGTGGATGACAACAGATAGGAAAGGGGAGTGGATGATAAATGCTTGACAACAATGCTTGATGACAGGTAGGGTTAGTGAGTGGATGAATGCTTGACAACAGATAGGGTTAGTGAGTGGATAAATGCTTGACAGCAGGTGGAATGAGTCAGCTATTGAGTGAGTGAGTGTCATCTGATGACTGAATGGGTGAACTCTTGATGACAGGTTTTGTGAGTGAATGCTTGACGACATAGAAAGTGAGTGAGTAAGTTCTTAACAACAGTTGGAATGAGTGATTTAATGTGTTGACGACAGGGAGAGTGAGTGAATGAAATAGTGAAGGCTTGATGACAGGTAGAGTTATCAAGTCAATGTTTGATGACACTGTGAGAAAATGAATCCTTGGTAACTGGTGGAGGGAGTGAATGATTGAACATTGGTGACAGGTCCCTTCAGTAGAAGGTTGTAACGAGCTGTAACGATATATCGTAGTATCGATAATTGTGATACTATATCTGACAATAATTATATCGATACGTTTTTTCGTATTGTGATATGTATCATTGACCTTAAAATTGTTAATTTTTTTATTAGATATTGACAGTTATGTCAAAATTTCCTGCTATTAAAATATGATTTTGGAAAAATAACTAAAGAAAGCATATCGTGATATGCATCGAATGAAATCGTATCGTTCCAAGATATCGCAATGCGTATCGTATTGTGAAATTTCTGTATCGTCACACCTCGTCAGTTGTAACCATGATACATTGAAATAACAACTGGCCATTACATCTTTGGGGCTGAATGAAAAGGGAAAAGAAACTGTTGATGTCTTTTAATTTTTAATTTTTAGTGACAGTTTGATTGGCCAAAGAGAAAATACATTCTGAACATGAATCATCTTGATAGCTATGGAGTAAATGTTTAGTTTAGAGTGTGTTTGTGCTGTAATGTGTTTTAGTATGAACTCAATGAAGTAATGAATTAATACTCAATGCAACTGGCTGAAGTGCATCCTAACAATCTCAAGCACATTGTAAGAATATTCCACTTCACATTGGGAGATTGACATAAGCAGTTCCTGTATTACTCAACTTTTTACAGGGCGTTTCTATTGTTCCATTATTCATCCAAAGTTCAACTTATGATAAATGTATATAAATAAACCTCAAGTAAAAACTGCAGTCTTTTAAATTTATTGATGAGTAAAAATTAATAATAATGAAGATAACTGACGTATCAGTCATTAAACTGTGCGTAGGTTGTTTGAGTGGCATTTTAGAAGTTGGAACGTACAATATTGAACAAACTTTATGGATAAGAACTTCTCTATTTTGTGAGTGTGACGTTTTGATACAGATTCTTGTACCGTCATTCCTGCTTGACAACAGTAGAAGAATCTGTATTGAAACATTGCACTCACAAAATAAAGAAGTTATTATCCATAAAGTTTGTTTAATATTGTACACAAGTTATCACATACCACTCCATGGTTTAATGGAGAGAGGAAGCTCTGTGGTTCAATTCATTGCCTGTCTTAGTGGTTAAGTTGGCAATGTGTCTGCCTGGAGAGTGAAAGCCCACTGGTTCAATCATCAGATGTGCCTTATCAAAAGACTTTAACAGATGATATGTTTGCTGATTGTTGTCTTATTGCAAGATCAGAAAATAAAAAAAATTCGAGTCAGATGTGTCAAACCCAGAATAAGTCAAACTATTTCTCTCATCCCTAGAGGGGTGGTGGGGTAGCCTAGTGATTAAAGCGTTCGCTCGTCATGCCGAAGACCCGGGTTCGAATCCCCACATGGGTACATTGTGTCGTTATATTGCTGGAATATTGCTAAAAGCGGTGTAAAACCAAACTCACTCACTCACTCTCATCCCTAGAAGTAGTTCAGTATCAAACATGGAGTAGCATATGATCAGCATCTTCCGTCGGGGCGCACACAAGATGAAACCTTATGAGCAGGCTGGTTTAGGTGAATTGTAGTATTCAGCCACAATGTTTCACATCCTTCCTCTTACATGTAGCACTTCAAAGAAATATCAGCTTCCTTGTAGGGATCATACAACTTCAAAACAAGGAAGTCGGTGTTTGTTTACATTTACTTTTGCATTTAACATATTATTGAAGGTCATGACAGTAATGAAAAGGAATGTAATTTATTTTAAAATGAAGGAAGCAAACCAATGGAGGTGTTTGCTGTGGGTGATCACAATCTGAGTCCACTATCTTTATATTGGCTCATTGCATCATTTTCAGTCACTTTTACTGTTATACTATTGGCTGACATTCATTGACTGAGGTTACAAGATGAAATATAATTTTATTGTAGTTTTAGGCAAGTTGACTGGAATATAATCGCTGACTGTAATCATGGTTAAATGTTTGGATGACAAGGCCTGCTTATTCTGCAGTCTTTAGTATATATCAGGTTTTTTATATCAGTGTTAATTATTTATACTTAATGAATAAAATCATCTTCATTGAAGAGATTAATGTGTGGAGTGATGTATTTTTTACATCTCTTTACTGGTAAAATACCATTGGTGACATCCAGAAGACCATTGGCGGCATCCCAAATGGGATGTGTACAACTATCATTTAGTTGATTTAAGATGACAGATTGACAGATCCTACAGGTTGTATGATGTGCTGAATGTGTTGCAGTGATGGAGACTGGTGGCTGGCCAAACATGAGAACGGCCAGGAGGGTTACGTACCAAGCAACTATGTGGCCATGGAAAATACACTGGAGTCTCAAGAGTAAGTTCTGGATCAATGTTCCAATGTTGTAGACACTATAGTTATACGAGGAGACACACTATGGGGCATATTGGATAACTAGGAACACTATAGGGTGTATTCTGTTGGGATATATGTAGATACTGAGGAACACTATAGGGTGTATTCTGTTGGGATATATGTAGATACTGAGGAACACTATAGGGTGTATTCTGTTGGGATATATGTAGATACTGAGGAACTCGATGGGACATATTCTGATACCGAGGAACACTATAGGGTGTATTCTGTTGGGATATATGTAGATACTGAGGAACTCGATGGGACATATTCTGATACCGAGGAACACTCTAGGGTGTATTCTGGGAATAATATGATCATGATTAAAGCCAGGGACTACACTGTCATGTTTTGATTGGGTGATTTTGTGTTTCAGATGGTTCTTCGGGAAGATCACGAGGAAGGAAACAGAGCGTCAGCTTCTTCTACCTGGGTTCCGCCCTGGAACCTTCCTCATCCGAGAGAGCGAAACATGCCCAGGTGAGCCCCTAGCATAGATTTGTACCTTAGCATAGGTTAAACCATTCAGGTCATATTAGGGAAATCATCCAAGCTGAGTCCCTAGTATTGACAAGTGAAACCTTCCCAGGTGATCTCCCATGGCAAAGACTAGTGAAACCCTTCAAGTAATCTTCTTTAAACAAAGACTACCAAGACCCTTCCCGTTGATCTCCATACAAAGACTAGTGAAACCTTCTAAGGTGATCTTCTCCCAATAAAGACTACCAGCATACCTTTGTGAAACCCTCACAGTGATGTCCCTTGGCAAAGAATAGTGAAACCCTTCCTGGTGATTGTCATAGCAAAGACTACTGAAACCCTCCAAGTGATCCTCTGAAACAAAGACAAGTAGGATAGCTTTGTGAGTAAAACCCTCCAAGTGATCCTCTGAAACAAAGACAAGTAGGATAGCTTTGTGAGTAAAACCCTCCAAGTGATCCTCTGAAACAAAGACAAGTAGAATAGCTTTGTGAGTAATCCTCTGAAACAAAGACTAGTAGGATAGCTTTGTAAGTAAAACCCTCCAAGAGATCCTCTGAAACAAAGACTAGTAGGATAGCTTTGGGAGTAAAAACCCTCCAAGTGATCCTCTGAAACAAAGACAAGTAGGATAGCTTTGTGAGTAAAAACCCTCCAAGTGATCCTCTGAAACAAAGACTAGTAGGACAGCTTTGTGAGTAAAAACCCTCCAAGTGATCCTCTGAAACAAAGACTAGTAGGACAGCTTTGTGAGTAAAAACCCTCCAAGTGATCCTCTGAAACAAAGACTAGTAGGACAGCTTTGTGAGTAAAAACCCTCCAAGTGATCCTCTGAAACAAAGACTAGTAGGACAGCTTTGTGAGTAAAACCCTACAAGTGATCCTCTGAAACAAAGACTAGTAGGACAGCTTTGTGAGTAAAACCCTCCAAGAGATCCTCTGAAACAAAGACTAGGAGGACAGCTTTGGGAGTAAAAACCCTCCAAGTGATCCTCTGAAACAAAGACTAGTAGGACAGTTTTGTGAGTAAAACCCTCCAAGTGAGAACCCCAACTGGCCATATAATTTCATGCTTCATGATGAGGTCTCTTCTACAAGTCTCCTCCATTGGTTACATTCCATAGTTATTTCTCCTGCCTGCATGGTAACTGTCACTTATTTACTGTACAGGTGCGTATGTGTTGTCCGTGCGAGACTATGACCAGACGAAGGGGGACTGCGTGAAGCACTACAAGGTGCGCAACTTGGACAACGGGGGCTGCTACATCACACCAAGGAAGACGTTCACAAACCTGATAGAGATCGTCAACCACTACCATGGTAACATCAGCTTGCTTTGCTATTTTTTAAACACTTCAAAGTCAAAGTATTTTATTGCGATTAAATTCAGCTCTTGATAAGATTGATGAGGTATTTTGTGAACAATATATGTCAGAAGTGACATTTGTGACTCTGAAACTCCTACTCATTGACTATAGCTTAGATAATTAATACATTTGAGACCACAGACAATATTTGAATATTTTGCATAAAATAAACCTTTGGAAATCTGATTGGGCTGGTACTCTTGATTGTATGCCCTGACCCATTGGACTAATGCTTACAGATAACTCGGATGGATTGTGCCAGAAACTCACAGACTCATGTCCAAAACCAAAGCCTGTGATGGAGGATTTGTCCCGGGAAACCAAAGACACCTGGGAAATCCCTCGTGAAACTTTAAAACTTGAGAAGCGTCTTGGTGCTGGTCAGTTTGGAGAAGTATGGAAAGGTGAGTTTGTTTGTGAATAGTGTTGATCGGTAGCAGGATAGTTGGCTCATCTGGAGAAGTATGGAAAGGTGGGTTTGTTTGTGAATAGTGTTGATGAGTAGCAGGATAGTTGGCTCATCTGTAGAAGTATGGAAAGGTGGGTTTGTTTGTGAGTAGTGTTGATGGGTAGAAGGATAGTTGGCTCATCTGTAGAAGTATGGAAAGGTGGGTTTGCTTGTGAATAGTGTTGATCGGTAGCAGGATAGTTGGCTCATCTGGAGAAGTATGGAAAGGTGGGATTGTTTGTGAATAGTGTTGATGGATAGCAGGATAGTTGGCTCATCTGTAGAAGTATGGAAAGGTGGGTTTGTTTGTGAATAGTGTTGATGGGTAGAAGGATAGTTGGCTCATCTGTAGAAGTATTGAAACGTGGGTTTGTTTGTGGATTGTATTGATGGGTAGAAGGATAGTTGGCTCATCTGGAGAAGTATTGAAAGATGGGATTGTTTGTGAATAGTGTTGATGGATAGCAGGATAGTTGGCTCATCTGTAGAAGTATGGAAAGGTGGGTTTGTTTGTGAATAGTGTTGATGGGTAGAAGGATAGTTGGCTCATCTGTAGAAGTATTGAAACGTGGGTTTGTTTGTGGATTGTATTGATGGGTAGAAGGATAGTTGGCTCATCTGGAGAAGTATTGAAAGGTGGGATTGTTTGTGAATAGTATTGATGGGTAGCAGGATAGTTGGCTCATCTGGAGAAGTATGGAAAGGTGGGTTTATTGTGGATTGTATTGATGGGTAGAAGGATAGCTGGCTCATCTGTAGAAGTATGGAAAGGTGGGTTTGTTTGTGAATAGTGTTGATGAGTAGCAGGATAGTTGGCTCCTCTGGAGAAGTATTGAAAGGTGGGTTTGTTTGTGGATTGTATTGATGGGTAGAAGGATAGTTGGCTCATCTGGAGAAGTATGGAAAGGTGGGATTGTTTGTGAATAGTGTTGATGGGTAGAAGGATAGTTGGCTCATCTGGAGAAGTATGGAAAGGTGGGTTTGTTTGTGGATTGTATTGATGGGTAGAAGGATAGCTGGCTCATCTGGAGAAGTATGGAAATGTTTGTGAATAGTGTTGATGGGTAGAAGGATAGTTAGCTCATCTGGAGAAGTATGGAAAGGTGGGTTTGTTTGTGGATTGTATTGATGGGTAGCAGGATAGTTGGCTAAGTTTATGTTCATCACTCAGATGACCATTGATTGAATTTGTGATGAATATAAGTACTGCACAGAGAATTAATAGTTGAGTAAATAAGTATGTTTTTGTAATTGAGAAATTGTTGAGTATCTAGTTATGTGTCTGTTCAAGTGATAATTTGTGTATTATGTTTCTGTCCAGGTAAATGGATGAACTCCACCGATGTTGCCATCAAGACCTTGAAGGTAGGAACAATGACATCAGAAGCTTTCCTGGCTGAGGCGGCCATCATGAAGATGTGCAAGCATGACAAACTGGTGCGCCTGTACGCTGTATGCACAAAAGAAGAGCCCATCTATATTGTCACTGAGCTGATGAGCAACGGCGCTCTGTTGGAGTACCTTCGAGAAGGTGCTGGCAAATCCATGGATACCATGCATCTGATTGACATGGCAGCACAGGTGATTAGGATTTATTTTACTGATTTCATCAATTTTCAATACTAAAATGTTTTTAAGGATTACCAGATTTTTATATGATTGGTCTATCTTAAAATGTATCCTATTGAAAATGTTTGTTTGAGTTGTAGAACTAGAACAGGTTTCAAGCACTCACCGGTTTCTTCTGTATCCTCAGATTGCCAATGGTATGGCGTTCCTGGAAAAGATGAAATTCATTCATCGAGATCTGGCTGCCAGAAACATCCTTGTGGGAGACAACAACATCTGCAAGGTGGCTGACTTTGGCCTGGCCAAGGTCATTGAGGATGATGAGTACAATCCAAAACAAGGTGAGAAGAGACTTCACAAAACACCTATGTGGAACAAGATATTAAGTTTCTTGACACAGACCAGCTCATCTTTAGGACAGTGAAACTTTCCAGTTGTTAGAAAATATGAATATGATGATGGTGATGGTTTTACTTCTTTATTCTTTTCCATATTTAATGTCATGTTACCTATGACCTTGAGAGACCACATAGATAAAGTAAGAGTTTTCTAAACAGAGGCAGTCAGTAAAGTCTTTGCCTTTTGATGCTAGTGAAGAGACATATAAAAGCGTCATTATTAGAAAAGAAGGACTGTAAAATGTTCTTTATTCACAGGAGCTAAATTCCCCATCAAGTGGACAGCCCCAGAAGCAGCCCTGTACGGCAAGTTCACCATCAAGTCAGATGTGTGGTCATATGGTATATTACTGATGGAACTCGTTACACGAGGACAGGTCCCTTACCCCGGTGAGTTGTCTCTCCTGTGTGTGTTTTCAGCCCTAAACTCCATACAGTACAGTTGTCTCCCCTGTCTTGTATCAAACCAATCACAGCATACACTATAGTTGTCTCCCCTGTCTCTTGTGTAAACCAATCACAGCATACACTATAGTTGTCTCCCCTGTCTCTTGTGTAAACCAATCACAGCATACACTATAGTTGTCTCCCCTGTGTCTTGTATCAACCCTATCACTGCTCATACTTAAGTTGTCTCCCCTTTTTCTTGTATCAACCCATCACAGCATACAATATAGTTGTCCCCTCTGTATCAACCCTATCGCAACATACACTAAAGCTGTCTCTCCTGTGGGATGGTTTTCTCCTGTTCATGATTGTAAGAAATATTATGAGTCATTATAACTGATGTTGTCACTATTGTCTGCAAAAGCAATTCTCTTGATCTTTCCCTGTGGTGATGTTTGGATGATAGAACAAACCCAACAAAATGCCACTTATTTCAGGTATGAGTAACCGGGATGTCCTGGACCAGGTGGACAAGGGTTACCGGATGCCACGGCCACGCCAATGTCCTGAAGGAGCTTACGACACCATGTTGAAGTGCTGGGACAAGAGGGCCGACAACAGACCCACATTCGAGTATCTCTTCACATACTTCGATGATTTCTTTATCTCATCGGAGGGAAGTTATAAGGAGACGGATTAAAGATACATCCTCTAGGATATCTGCTTTTCAACTATTAGTGCTTTGTTTATGTTAAAACGAAAACTGGCCCAGGAGACATTGTTTTGTCGTGCCATACATCAAAGATGCTAGTGTTTTCAACAAAGCACAGTTTGTTTTTTATCCCATTACTGTAACAGTAAATGTGGGATCTTTTGCAATAAAATCATTCAAAAAAATTCCTGTACAGAAAGAGACTTGATATATAAGTTTTGTCTTTACTAACAGGACAAGTGAAGTAACATATTGCATTTTGCAAATTTCCTGTAACTTACAATCATGCCAATCCCTGGGTTAATAATGTGTCAAGACATTCTAAAGCTATTTATATACAAATTAGAATATTTTTTATGGGATTGAGGCTGTGCGATTATGTCTTCCTGTCACAACATAAATATTTGTCTCTAAATCTTGCCATGGACGAGTTTTGTACCACAGTTGTCTCAAAGTTGGTTTGTATTCACCGCATGAACAAACTCTTGGAACATTATTTTTGGCTTGTGAATTTTGTTTTGCAAATGTCAGTTTTGTCATGTTAGAAAGTTGACATTAAGATCACAGGTCAAGATCCACTGGGCACATGTGCCATGCCTGTAACACTGTAACTGGGAGAAGATTATGTTTAGAAGATATGTCCTGAACATTTTATATAATATTATTTATCAACATTTTGTATGCAGAAAACAGAAGATATTTTTACAAGAAATGTGTATAAACCTTTTATGGAGATCAAAGATATCAAATGTTGACTATAGACATGAGGTTAAGATTGTTTATTTACTGTTGTACAATGTATATTTCGAGTGTATTTGGTAAGACTAAAATATTTTAGTTCATGTTGCAACATACTTGATATTTTTTGTTGATTTATCATGTTTATGTTTACACCTGCTTAATGTATACAAACAAATCAACTCTCCTAGCTTGTATGAACTTCTCACCTGTTTTCTCAGAATTGTTTTCTGCTTTGAAGGTATTACCACAAGCTTTCAATAATTTGTGCAATTCATTGTCTGTTGAGCTTGGATACTAGGGGATGACTAATTCTTCAAATTATTATTTGACAGTTTCTTTTTGTTTTGTTTAAAATCTCATTTCAGGCAGGCTCTTGATGAGATTCGAACATTTTGATAAAGCTGTCTATCTGACAGTGAATGTTGCAAATTGCAGCCTAAAACAGCATTAACTCATTCCATGAGTGAAAGAAGGCATGTAATTGTTGTTTCCCTGTCTATGTGATGAATAACACCAACCCTCAGTTCATCTTCAGCAAAATGCATCTCTGACTCACCATTAAGTGGATTTTTATAAGGGAAAAGGGAGATAACTTCCAAAAATCACAAAATGCACGCCAATAAAAATTACACAAAATGTCTTTGAGACTGGGATAGCCAAGTCACAATAGTGAAAATGATTTGGAATATTTTGCACCATGTGAGACCTCTTCACTGTTTCGCATGAAATATCAGGTTTCAAAGAATGCACAAGTGATTTTTAATGCATGTGAAGCAAGTGTCACATCTGATGGTTGTGGCCTTTACTCTCTCAGGCATGGCCCAGGAACTGGTGATATTTTCAGCCTGTGTTGTAAGATAGGATGATTCCTCACTTAGGATGTGATGAATGTATGATATTGAATTGTACAGGAACAGATTCATTTGTAAAAGTGCCACTCTGAAGTAAGTGCCGTCTCTGAAACAATATTTACTTAACAGAAAATTTTGCAATAGTTAATGTTGCATGCAACTGGATGTATTTAAAACCATGGATATACAGTAATGATCTTTGGTACATTGATACAAGTTTTATTCATTAACAATAATATGAGTGAATTTATTTATGATTTTAACTATTTGTGAATGATAAATATTGTATTTTCCAAATTAGAAATTAGAAGTATAAGTATTCAAGCTCATACAACATGATTTTAATATCATTGAACTTTTTTATCTTTTTTATCTTTTTTTTTAACAGTGTAAACATACATTTTTATTTTTTTATTTTTTTTTATTCATTCAAAATCAGTAGATACATGTATACAAAGTACATGATGCAACAGCACTTGTACACCGTAGAACAGAAATTCATATGGGTTGGCATTACAGATTGAACTTTTATAGTCAGACCTTTCAAATACTTTAGGGGAAATATGATCATTGTGTCCTTCCAACTGATCTGTTTCTTTTATATTTCTTCCCATCAGACCTAGGTTGGAGATTTACCAAGATATGTGGGCTTGTTCCACCACTCAAGACATACACATATGAAGGAAATCATCAGTGATTGTAGTCAAATTTCATTTGTCATTTTGTTATTACTACTTTATTTGTACATTGTTAATTTATGCTAATTTTTAATGTACCATACATATTTTGTGTTATATGAAGTAGCCATTTTTTTAGAAGCACATTGTTTTAAACGGGTATAAGTCCCATCCTACTTAAACAACCACAGACTCTAGCATTCCCGCTTACAGTTTTTAACTGTAGTCATGTGTGGATCAATCACATCTTAATAGATCTTTTATTCTGACAGTTGTATGTTTGCATTTTGTTGCCAGTATTTACATGGTATCATTCTTCCCCATGTATCCAACCCAGTACACTTGAAACACATGAAAACAACGTACAAACCCAGCTCAACCACATCTTGGCTCTTCATTAGTGTCACCTTCACCAACAGAGTAGCCTAGTGGTTCAAGTGTTTGCTTGTAGTGAAAGCATGACCATGGGTTAATTCCCTCACATTGGTACATTGAGTCCCACTCTTGGGGTCTGCCTTTGTGATATTGATGAAGTAAAGTGGAACAGGCATACAAAGATTTTTGCTGTACATAAATAATTACACATTATTCTTCTGTTTGATATAAAACAAAATCAACTTCTAAAGCTGGTGTGCCATTCTTATACACATGAGCAGAAAATTGATGTTCTTTGCCATCACAATTGCAAATGCATAGTATATTTTGTTTGTGTCAAGTGCCTAACTGTGTTTGAAAGCAGCAGAGCAGTTATTTAATAGGCAACAATGAACCTTTCTAAGCGATCTTGGCAAGCTTACATATAAGTGATTGTCACTGTGAAGCAATATATTTGGTGCTCATCGATAAAGTATACATGTAATTGTCTGTTACAATTGCATTAAGTGCCTCATATAAGTTTGGAATAAAGATTTTTAAATATATGAAAGCATTAATATATATTAAATATGTGTGTGAAATTTGTAATATTTTTTGTCATATTTTACATACATCTAACTGCATTCTGACACATATTTGTTTTGTAAACCAAATTTATTGTGATGTTAATGTTTCTTTCATTGAGTTTATTGAGGCCTCTAAGAGGCTCACATTTTTTGGGTTGAGTGAAATTGTTATTTTTATCAAATCATTTTGTGTGTCCTGTGCAAAGAATACACACAATGGTTCTTCAGTCCTCGAAATATGTCATCATGAAGATTAGAGTTACCTGCCCTTGCCACTAAGAAAACTGGTGGAACAGAGAAATGAACGCTCATTTTGATGTCGTAACAGAAAGAGCAAAATCAGTGAGTGATGTGAATTCTGTAAACAAAGAATTTGAAACAAAAAACTGAACCAAGGGCTTTGTAAGAATATTACATGGGCTTAAAGTGGCAAGATACAGGTGTAACTAAATATTGTATCAGCACATCTGCCTGGTTACCAGGCTGTTAAGTTTGACTACAATAAAACATAGGGCAGAGAATAATTTTCTTGTGAGGAGAAAAGATTTTCAGTTACATTTATGTATAGTTGCTGCAGACAATGAAGTAAAGGTCTTCAACAGAGAGAAGAAACTTAAAAGAACACTGTCAATATACCTGATCATAATCAATTACAGCTTAGATTAGGGAAATAACTTTTTCATTTTACTGCTTGTGAAACCTAGGAAATAAAATTAGCTACCAGTAAGTGTCTGACTTAATAACTATTTGAAAACTGAGTATAATGTAAAGTTAATAGATTAATAACAGCTTGGACAGTATCTTTGTACCAGGCTTCCCATGATATGTACATTAAAGTTTTTTAATTATCAACATAAATATTATAATAATAATAATGAGAAGTCTTATAATGCGCTAATCTCCATGCAACAAAGCATGCGCTAACACAAACATATATACATCATGATGCAAAGTCTAATTCTCAAACAAATGAGTCTTTATCTGCCGGACTAGTTCTGAATTACTGGGCAGGGTAAGGGCAAAGCAGTAATGTCTTATGGTGGCCTGGTAAATCTTGTCTGGCCTGTCTTTATTCATCAGACACAGGTGTACATCCTCCTGTTTTGGAACTGAATGCATATTTTCAGTGTTCTTTTAATACCCATTGAGATTTTGCTTGTAAAGGATCTAAGGCTGACTAGAATGAATCAGCTGGTTAGCCAAGGGGGTACAATTTACAAGATAGTCATCCTTGACCCTTTAGCGTGGTGTCTTATGCTCAAACTACCTTGTATATAGTATATCTCTCTCCATGTTCTACCACAGACAATGATAAATGTCAAAATTATGGGTCTTTTTAATATACAAGTATTTGTCTTTTTAATTTTGCTTTGTTAATTTTATAGATTATTTGCTTGTAATGAGAATTGTTGATGTTTTTTATTATGATTTATGTGTTTTTCTACAGGTACCATCCTATTACATGTTTATGATGCATGACTATGTTTTGATACTTTGTACATATCTCAAATTCATCCTCAGTCTAAATAAATAAAAAAAACAATGGAATCTGGTTCTTTGGGTATTTTGTTCAAACGGGAAAACAATGTTAGTTTGTTTGTTGTTTAACGTCAAACTCAGCCATATGGCAACGGCCCATAAATAACAAGTGTTTGCCACTAATATGGCAATGTCCCCCGCTGCTAAAGAATGGAATATCTATATTTACTACTTTTTACTTTTTGGTCACATACAAGATGCCTGAAATGACTGGTGTCTGCATAATCACCCAATGTAGGCTGTCAACATACTTGAAAACATTGGGTGCAATGTTTTATGAGATATCGCGTTTAAATAAGTTTGAAAAGTGTTCAAAGTGTCATGGTGACCTTGAAGATAAGGTCAAGGTCACCCAAATAAACTGGTGTCTGCGTAATCCCCAAATGCAGGCTGTCACCAAATTTGAAGACATTGGGTACAACAGTCCATGAGATGTCGCGTTAACAAGAGTTTAAAGTGTTCAAAGTGTCATGGTGACCTTGAAGATAAGGTCAAGGTCACCCAAATAAACTGGTGTCTGCGTAATCCCCAAATGTAGGCTGTCACCAAATTTGAAGACATTGGGTACAACAGTCCATGAGATGTCGCGTTAACAAGAAAAGTGTTCAAAGTGTCATGGTGATCTTGAAGATAAGGTCAAGGTCACCCAAATAAACTGGTGTCTGTGTAATCCCCAAATGTAGGCTGTCACCAAATTTGAAGTCATTGGATACAACAGTTCATGAGATACCGCGTTCACAAGAATCGTGATGGACGTACGGACGTACGCTGCTGAATACACAGTCCCCCGTTCAGCGTTGCGGCGGGGGACAATTAAGACAATCCAAAGATCAACATCATGAGCATGTATCTACCAAATTGGAATAAATTGTCACATGTCAACCAAGTGAGCAGGCCTTACAACCAGATCCTGTTAGTTGCCTCTTACAACAAGCATGGTTTGCTGAACACCAATTCTAACCTTGATCTTGACAGGTACAGAAACCTGACTTTGAAGTTATACAAAAATGCATGTGATAGTATAACCCAAACTGATGGAATGTGTCTAAATTCCAACGTGCTGTATATTTGGAGATGAAACTGATTCCCAATGGCTACATATATAACTGTTTATGTATTCTATTTTGAATTATCTTCTATTAGTACATTGGGATTGATCAAGACGTATATTCTGAAATATTGGAGCTTAGTATGCATGTCATCTTAATGGTGTTCATCTTGTTGGACATGTTGGGTACATGCAACCAGGAAATATTCACATAATCATTAAATGGGACAGACTCCTTGTTTGATCCTACATTCTGAACTGGAAGCTGGCAGGGGTAATGGAGGCAAAGAACAAATTGATTTACCACGAGTGGCCCTTAAAATGTTGAATGAAATATATTTTACGTGAGTAATTATTAAATACTAGTATGAGGTTGGAAATCTGAGAGCACAACCCTGTGAGGAAATGGGTTTCTACCTTTGATGGTGGTGATATTTTATTTTGACATTAAAAATATTGTTCGAACCAAAGCAAGGGAAGTGCGTTGCCAACCTTTGCTTGCTTCGCTCGCATATAGGAAGATTGTTCATTTTTCTCTCTGTTGTGCAGCCCTATTTGCACTACAGTTTCACTGTGAGTGGATAGAAAATCTGACAGCTTGTACCAAAAGACATTAAACAATGGCACTTGTTCTTACCCTGCCTGGTACTTCCCAATTAAAACAAGGATTGGTTGGCCAGGAGTGTTGTGGGAGGTTTCCATGTTACCAGCAGCTTGGTATGTCATGGGTAAGAATCAGTCTTTGTGAGTGAAAGCAGCCATAGATATACATATGCATGTAAATGAAATAACCACAAAGACTGGTTTCGATCAAGTCCCTTGTAGACTGGTTCTTATCAATCCTGATAAGCCGTTAAATCGAGCTTGCCAGTGTCAACAGACGGCAGCCACATCTAGGGTACTGGAGGAAATTTATCGGAACGTAGACCCGGAGATAATCTAGGATGGTCAAGCTCCTGGTAGACTGGTTCCTTTCAAGCTCCTGAAATACTGGTTCCTGTAAAGCCCATGGTAGACTGGTTCCTATGAAGCTCCTGGTAGACTGGTCCCTATGATGCTCCTGGTAGACTGGTTCCTATCAAGTCCCTAGAAGACTGGTTAAAATCAAGCCCAAGGTAAACTGGTTCCTTTCAAGCCCCTGGTAGACTGGTCCCTATGAAGCTCCTGGTAGACTGGTCCCTATGTCAAGCTCCTGGTAGACTGGTTCCCTATGAAGCTCCCTAGTAGACTGGTATGAAGCTCCCTGGTAGACTGGTCCCTATGAAGCTCCTGGTAGACTGGTCCTATGAAGCTCCTAGTAGACTGGTTCCTGACAAGCCCCTGGTAGACTGGTTCCTATGAAGCTCCTAGTAGACTGGTTCCTGACAAGCTCCTGGTAGACTGGTTCCCTATGAAGCTCCTGGTAGACTGGTTCCTGATCAAGCCCTGGTAGACTGGTTCCCTATGAAGCTCCTGGTAGACTGGTTAAAATCAAGCCCAAGGTAGACTGGTCCCTAGCGAGGCTCCTGGTAGACTGGTCCCTATAGAAGCTCCTGGTAGACTGGTCCCTATGAAGCTCCTGGTAGACTGGTCCCTATGAAGGCTCCTGGTAGACTGGTCCCTATGAAGCTCCTGGTAGACTGGTCCCTATGAAGCTCCTGGTATACTGGTCCTTATGAGGCTCCTAGTAGACTAGTCCCTATGAAGCTCCTAGTAGACTAGTCCCTATGAAGCTCCTGGTAGACTGGTTAAAATCAAGCCCAAGGTGGACTGGTCCCTATGAAGCTCCTGGTAGACTGGTCCCTATGAAGCTCCTGGTAGACTGGTCCCTATGGAAGCTCCTAGTAGACTGGGTCCCTATGAAGCTCCTGGTAGACTGGTCCTAAGGAAGCTCCTGGTAGACTGGTCCCTATGAAGCTCCTAGTAGAATGGTCCCCTGGTAGACTGGTTCCCATCAAGCCCCTAGTAGACTGGTTCCTGACAAGACCCTGGTAGACTGGTTCCTGACAAGCCCCTGGTAGACTGGTTCCCATCAAGCCCCTAGTAGACTGGTTCCTGACAAGACCCTGGTAGACTGGTTCCTGACAAGCCCCTGGTAGACTGGTTCCTGACAAGCCTCTGGTAGACTGGTTCCTATCAAGCCTCATCCTCGATAATCTCCAGGGTATACGTTACGATCACTCTCCACTATACCCTGGATGCATCCACGGCTTGGCCCGATGATTTTATTACCTCCCTTTGCTGGCTTTTTATCCAATCAGGTGTCTATGCTGGGAAGTTGAGCGAACCAATCACAACTCATTTTCGCTTCTTAAATTATCTAACCGTTTAAACTTGGCAACACAATTGATGCAGAGGTACTCTGAAAGAGGTAGAAGGAGTTCTTTCATATATTTTTTCAGATCTGTCAATTTGTCTGTATGATTTCCCCAAAAATATGAGTGGCACTGCGAACAAACCTTCGCAACTGTGACCGCTATCTTTGTTGACACTGGCACGCTCGGATGTAACGGCGGCTTAGCTGATTGACTATTGTGAGAATGCGGAGCCAGCAAAGGGAGGTAATATAATTATCGGGCCAAGCCGTGGATGCATCCAGGGTATAGTGGAGAGTGATCGTAACGTATACCCTGGAGATTATTGAGGAAGATCAAGCCCCTGACAGGCTGATTTCTGACAAGCCCCTGGTAGACTGGTTAATATCAAGGCCCAGGTAAACTAGTTACTGACAAGATCAAAGTAGATTGGTTCATATCAAGTCCCCAGTAGACTGTTTCCAGTCAAGCTTATGTGGATATGTTCCTGAAACATTCTGCCACAGTGAATATCTTGAATGGACAACAATACACTACAACTGGTTCATCTGGTATATTACAGAAAAGTATATATTGATTTGCTTTCATAAAATAAAATAAATGGACAACTTTGCCAGTAGTGGTTTTACAATACAGCAATACAATATCATCTTCTTTGAGTGGCATTTAGAAGTTGGTGTGATGAACACATAGGAGAGTTCTATGGATTATACAACTTCTTTAATATAATATGAGCGACGTTTTGGTGTAGCTGCTATCATTTTGCTTGTTAGCAGCTACACCGAAACGTCGATCATATTATATTAAAGAAGTTGTATATCCATAGAACTCTTCTCGTTGTTCAATACAATATCACATCCTGATACAAGTCCAATTATACAATACCTCAATTTGCAATTCCTTTATCACAAGAGATATGATACAGTACATAACAAGCTACATGAGAGTAATTACTGACTAGTCAACAACCATGTTACCCATATTCTCCAGTATATTCCTGTAGACAGTAAATAGCACATTACAAACCAGCTCCTTCCAGGCTATGTGTTTGTGCCATTATATCATCTTCCATCTCTGAATGTATAAACAACAGATTCGGCATTGCAATTCACCTACAGAACAAAACTATATCAAGTCATAAAATATAAGTGCTGTATTGGGTTACAAATTGTTACGACCCCAAGAGCAAGTGTGGGCATGTTGGTTTTCTTGCCGCTTGGAAATGTTTTTCATCCATATCAAGATGTCAGCTTAATGTGGGAGATACAGATCTTGAACATTTACCACTCTGATGAAGGTAACCTAGCAACATTATCACTGCGACCCCAAGATGATGATGATTTGGAGATATTATGAACACTTTCCAACATGATGTGTATTTCGGGACCCAAAAAGTCGAACCCACAATTATAGGGTTCTGGCGTGTCCAAGGGTCACCACTCTGTGCAGCAAATTGCGGCACCTTAGACAATCGGGCCACATATGGAGCCTAGAACTCTCTAAAAAGTCGAACCAACAATTATAGGGTTCTGGCGTGTCCAAGGGTCACAACTCTGTGCAGCGAATTGCGGCACTTTAGACAATCGGGCCACATATGGTGCCTAGAACTCTCTAAAAGGTCTTCCATCCCTGATCAAGCAACTTTAATACATTGAACACTTTTGTTAACAAACATATCCTTAGCTACAATAGATATCTCTGTCTAGTGATTCTGGTGTAAAAATATCCTTTGTACAGAATCACAGATTCTTGGATAGTAACAGAATTAACACATTTCACAGTGAAACAAACAGTAATTGATAACATATGCACGTGTTACAGAACGCATTCAACAACATTGCAACAGAAACAGATATTTAATGTGGCTATACCTTTGGCATAAAGTGAACACCATCCTTACCTAAGGTTGACCTTTAAGGTTTTGTAAATTGCATGAATATCTGTGGAAATTACATTCCTGTTAGCCATATTGACACGATTAAGTCATGAATATCTGTGGAAATTACATTCCTGTTAGCCATATTGACACGATTAAGTCATGAATACCTGTGGAAATTACATTCCTGTTAGCCATATTGACACGATTAAGTCATGAATATCTGTGGAAATTACATTCCTGTTAGCCATATTGATAATGATGAATATCTGTGGAAATTACATTCCTGTTAGCCATATTGACATGATTAAGTCATGAATATCAGTGGGTGCTAACATTACAAATGTTATATTTATATTCAAGTACTTATGTATTGCCATCTGCATGCCAACTATAAATGTTTGAATCAAACTGCAAAACAAATTCCTAAAAAGAACACAGACTGTCTCGACCTGAGACATAGAAATCAATGTAAATACTTCACAGGTTTTTATACACTAGGTATTCCTTTATCACCAATCAATACCAACTTACAGATTGTGGTTTGTGAATGAACAATGCCATTTAGAAAGTGATCAAATGTAACATATGTTATATTTGGGATTACCCGTTCTCAGTAAAGTACAGATTCTAGTACTTTTGTTGGGTTGAGTCAGGCACCTAATCGCCAGCACACAAAGTCAGCCATCTAACCCACTCAGCCACCGCTACTTCCACATAATGCAGGTCAGACAACTGGTAGTCCTGGCCACAGACTTTGTGTACCCCTCTGATAAGTGTAAATTGGCATGGCTCCCACGGCCGAAATATATAGTTCCTTTTCGTGGAAGCCGCAGTGGCTCAGTGGGTTAGGCGGCTGACTTTGTCTGCTGGTGATTGGGCGCCTGACTCTGATGGTGTGGGTTCAAATCCTGGATGGGTACTCAACGTAAGTACAACAATCTGTGCTTTACTGAGAGAGTAATCCCAAATATAACTTTTATTACAGATCGTGTTGTGGTCACTATTTTTAACTAAACAATCCAACCATGAGTTGGTTCCATGGTGAAGGGCCCAGGGAACCCAGATCACATAAGCAATATCCTTCAGTGACATTTGCCATAGCCATGCGGTCTCTACACATTTCTATAGAGGGTTCACATATACTTCCAGCAAGGTAAAGGGCTCCATGAGTCCTCCTGACTGTAAACAGGACTCTGTCAATAATATACTACAATGTGTCATATGTATTCACCAGTGATGAAAGGACTTAGCATCTACAAACCCATGTAGTACTGACGATGTATATATACTCATGGAAACAAATAAGGTAACACATGAACATATTTCCAGGTTTCTTAACAAGGTATGTATTGCACTGTGGGTGAAATTCTGGGAATGAATAAAGGAACACTTGTACTTTCATGTGTTCCCTTATTTGTTTCCATGAGTATATATATACACCACACTGAAAACAAGCCCTGACTAGCACCAATATTACAAAAGGTTTGGTCTGTGGTTTCTAATCAGCAGGCATATTTTGACCTTCTGACAAGTGATAAACTGACCCATGATTAGTGAAATATAATGCCCATATTATTCCATTTCCCTGAATGTCTGTAATTCACTTAAAGGAGGTACATGAGGTAGCAGACATCTTAAAACTGATTTCCATGGTTACTCAACCCTTTTCTTCTCTAGCGAGGACTGGATGATGCTACGGATGATGGGCTGTGCATCCAGTTTTTCCCGGGCTTGTGTGATGGAGCAGTGGCACAGGGCAGCTATCAGGGCAGTTGGGACGACCTGAAGCCAGGAAAATACATCCATCATGCTGCCTCCTAACTGAGTGAGTGAGTTGAGTTTTACGCCGCTTTTAGCAATATTCCAGCAATATCACGTCAGGGACACCAGAAATGGGCTTCACACTTTGTACCCATGTGGGCTTGGCGTGACGAGCGAATGTTTTAACCACTAGGCTACCCCACCACCCTGCCTCCTAACTGAAACGCTGTGACTTCTAGTAAGCAAGTAGTCTCTATGCGCTCCCCTATTCAAATTGAAATCACAGTCAAAATTTTGTTGGGTGTATTACAGGTTTCTTTTTTAACAGAGAAGCATAGATAGGGTATAACTCTGCATTGAGTGAGTGAGTGAGTTTAGTCTTACGCCGCACTCAGCAATATTCCAGCTATATGGCGGCTGTCTGTAAATAATGGAGTCAGGACCAGACAATCTAGTGACCAACAGCATGAGCATCGATCTACGCAATTGGGAAATGATGACATGTGTCAACCAAGTCAGCGAGCCTGACCACCCGATCCCATTAGTCGCCTCTTATGACAAGCATGGGTTACTGAAGATCAATATTCTAACCCGGATCTTCACTGTTAGGCATTGTACCTAACATCAAGAATGTTTTTGTTTCATCGAAGTTTGAACAGTTTGCCTACTACTGTTTCAACTCTGATACATATGTTCAGCTTGTTGTTGGTTAATGATTCTAATGAACACTCCCTACACTCTCCTCACTGTCAGTTGCGGGCAGTGGGGGTAGTCTAATGGTTAAAGCATCCACTCGTCACCCGGGTTTGATTCCCCACATGCATACAATGTGTAAAGCCAATTTCTGGTGTCCCCCGCCGTGATATTGCTGGAATATTGCTAAAAGCGGTGTAAAACCATGAACTCAGCATCCAGACCACATATTATTGCATATACGGGATATCACTTTTCTATGGGAGTGTGAGTGAGTGAGTGAGTTTAGTTTTCACGCGACTCAGCAATATTCCAGCTATATGGCGGTGGTCTGTAAATAATAGTCTGGACCAGACAATCCAGTGATCAACAGCATGAGCATCGATCTGCGCAATTGGGAACTGATGACATGTGTCAACCAAGTCAGCGAGCCTGACCACCCGATCCTGTTAGTCACTTTTTATGACAAGCATAGTCAGCCTTTTATGACAAGAATGGGTTGCTGAAGACCTATTCTACCCTCGATCTTCACGGGATACACAAACAATCGGTATAAGTTGAATGTGTCTTTAGGCTAGTGGTTAAAGTGTTCACTTGTCACACCGAAAATCCAGGTGATTCCCACATGAGTACGATATGTAAAGCAAAATCTGGAGTCTACTGCCATGATATTGCTGGAATATGGCTAAAAGTGGTGTAAAACCTACGTCTCTCTCTCGTCTCTCACTTACAGAACATGTATTTCTGGTCAGCTCACCCTGTGTTGTGGTGTGGCTGTCTGGATATGTTCTGCCACAGCAGCTGTTTGTGTCTGTGCCGTCACACTGTCTGTGTTATAGATGGAACGAAGGAGGTAGTCCTGGGCATCACGCTGACTCAACTTGGAGTAACGCTGAAACAAGCCAAATCTGCATATAAATATGAGGCTGCACAGCATTTGTCACAACATCTTCAACTGAATAACAAAAATTAATCTTCAAGTCTTGGTTGTCGAAGTATTATCAGTCTAATATGATCCAAATATTCACAACTTCTCCTGGATTGTCTGGTCCAGACTTGACTATTTACAGATCTCTGCCATACAGCTGGAATATTGCTGAGTGTGTTAAACAACAAACCACACAGAACTTCCCCTAAGCAAACAGAGAGATATACTGTCAGCATGCAACATTTTCTTCTCACCAGCAGTGTCCTTTGATGTTCCAGATGTTAATCTTTTCATACAAATAATTTGTACATAGCACAGAACCTGAAGTGAGGCCAGTTGTGGAAAGGATTGTTGAGAAATGGTCAATTGTTAATTCAAAATAGCCTATCACTAAAGAGTGAGTGAGTGAGTATGATCTTAAACCCATTTCAGCAATATTCAAGCAATATCATGGCAGGGGACACCAGAAATGGGCTTCACATATCGACCCCGAGATCTTCGGCATGACGAGAGCGGATGCTATAACCACTAGGCCACCCCACTGTCCCTTATCACTAAAGGATAAACTACAGTAATTTGTTTGAGTGGCATGTTCTTGTGATATGGAACAAAAAACTTACAAAGTACAGAAACAAGCAAACAATCAGAAACTTTAAACTATCAATTTAGTGAATAAATGATACATATATGTATTTTAAAGTTATTTGAATAAAGAGCATCACTTGTAAGGGCATCACTTGTATCCTTGTTAAAGCTCTAAATGACATAGCTCACCTGGATGATGCCAACAGCTCGGTAAAACAGCTTGTTGTTACTGAAACATAATCCAGTTGTACTTTAAGCTCATGTGTATTTTGTCAGGACATCTGAACTAATTTTTACTTAATATTTTATCAAATGAATTTATATTTGGGATTATGCTTTCTTGGTTAATCACAGATAGCAGTACTTTGGTTGGTGGATTCTGATCCAGGACTCAAACACACACTCAGCCACCAAACCTAATCTGCAAATATGGAAATGTGAAAACTGAGAGTCCATATCATGTTCTATGTTGTGGCACCGTGTTGATGCCTGGCATTTTCTTGTTTATATTTTGTTTGTATTGGGACCCATGAAAATTAAACACATTTGTTTTCAATATTGTCTCAAATGTCTCTCCTTGATGTTTCTTTATCGGATCAGTTGTCATTTATTCTACAAGTTGGTTAAAAAGAGCAGATTTCACTTACATCGCTTAACTATGAAACAACAAATGATGATGATGATGATGACGATGATGGTGATGATGATGAATATTGTCTCAAATGTCTCTCCTTGATGTTTCTTTATCGGATCAGTTGTCATTTATTCTACAAGTTGGTTAAAAAGGGCAGATTTCACTTACATCGCTTAACTATGAAACAACAAATGATGATGATGATGATGATGATGATGATGATGATGATGATGACGACGACGATGATGATGATGATGATGACAATGATGATGATGACATGACACGTTTTATGGATAACAACTTTATACAGTTATCCATAAAAGATGTCATATATTCCCATTCGTCCAACTTGTAACTGCCTATCAAGAACACCAGCTATATGTCTGAAGAACCTTTTACTACTCAAGATTTGTTCCTTTACATTTTTGTCCCCTATAACAATAACATGTATTAAAAGACAGCACTGGCATCTTGAAATTTTTGTGGTAAATGAGATATCATCTTGAAGATGTATACTGGTAAATAAACTGATCGCCTATAGAATATTCCAAGCTCTAACAGGGGTGGAAATAACCCATTGCCTGATGTCCGAGTCCAGTGTTTTTTTCTGTCGGGTAAGCAAATTTGTATATCACACTGTACCGGAGTCCAGTTGACTTTCCAATATTAATCATGTTGTTTATTTACAAAATCAACAAGAAAACGGACGGTATAGTGGAAAAATTATCAGGGCAAGTGATTTTACATATGCCACCGTACCGGAGTACACTAGCAATTTTAAAGTTATTCCCACCCCTGAACCATAACAATTGCAATGGTAATAACGATTTTACTAACGGTAAGTCTAAGTTACCTGACTTTCACGTCCACCATACTGTTCTGGAACACCTTGCCCTTGAGGATATGTCCTCCGGTGGTGACGGCATTCAACACCCACTTGACAGCCATCTCTCGGTACAGCTGCCAGAACTCAGTCACGACAGTCTCCCCACAACTCCGGCCAGGGATGTACTGGGCAGAGACACCTGTACTACAGCGGCAAACCGTTCAAGTTTCACCGGATCTACCTAAAACCCACAATGTATTATAATAAAAATCTTTACATACAAACTTATATGACAGTCAGTGACAGGATATATAATCCACACCTGTATTAACACCTCTGTTATGGTGATACAATGGGTAAATACAATTTAAATGGGCAAAGTTTGATATCAGCCTGGGTAGTAAGAAATTGGAGTTCCATCCATTTGTGCATAGTCTATTTGTGGGCTCAACTTTCCTGTGACAATGTCTTCAGACCAATAACAACTTCTTTTTATTTTGTGAGTGAGGCATTTCGATACAGATTCACATTCCTGCTTGAGAATGGTACATATATCTGTATCGAAAATGTCGTACTCACAAATAAAAGTTGTTATCTATAAAGTTTGTCAATATTGTATTTCCCAACTTGCAAAATGCCACTCAAAGAAAATTATAATCTTAAAATTTGCAGTACTGAGTGAGAAATCTCAAAGAAATGCTCCCTTTACTTATGTTGATTGACCAGTATCAAAGTTGGTATCAGGCCCTGGTGGGGTATACTCACAGATTATTACATGAGTGTAGCACAAGCAAAAATACCTCATATAAGTATCGCACAAGCAAAAATACCTCATATAAGTATCCACAAGCAGAATGCTACATATCATTTATAGGCATAAGATGAATAGAACCAATACTGGTACAGTTATATGACAGGGTGTTCACTGTCTTCAAAACAGAGTCAAAATGTATGGCATACTCTTGCAAGTACATACATTTAACAATACAATACAATTGACGTTATGGCTTAGAACATGTTCATTATATGCTAGTTTTCATTTCACACCTCATAACACGCAGAAGATCAGGGTTCGATTCCCCACATGGTTACAATGTCTGAAGCCATTTCTGGTGTCCCCCGCCATGATACTGCCCCATCCCTGGGGGTAGAAAGAAATCTACCACCTACCTGGGTGTGCTCACTGCCTATGATGACGCACGCTCTCCTGCATGACAGGCCTTCCACACATGGAAGACTGGATGTGTCTGGATAGAAGAACATGGAATCGTGTGTTTACTCACCGCTTTCTGTTCTATATACATTTATTTGATTTGTTATTATAGATGTGTTTGCAAATCAGAAAAAGAATAATAACAAATTACATCCTGGAAAGATAATGGCTTCATGTAGAACTATTCAATAACTGTAGTTTGGCAAGAAACAATTGAAACAGGATTAAGTCCAAATTGTCTCCTTGGAAACACATGAATTTAAATATAACTTAATACAAAATTACAAAAAGCAAAAGCTGGGTATGTGATCATTGCATGTGAACAGTTTCATTGAAACCTATATTAGTTTGAGTGTTATGACTCTGATATGAAGTTTTGAGTCGTTTGTGACCATGTCCAAATTCTTTTCATGGAGAGGTAGGAACATTTAAAAAAAGCTAAAGGCATCCATTGCACCAATTAACAGTGCATATATTGCAATGCTGGGGTCAATGACATACATGTTCTGATTTGAACAAAGAATACAAAGATTAATTAATTAACACAGGACATATAACATGATCAACAGCTTGTACTGTTTGATAATGTCTACCTTGTAGAAGCACCACCACAAGATCATCACTGGACAATGTAGGCGTTACCTCTTCTTGGAAGTTAGCCAGTGAGATTCGGAAATGCTTGCCCTGTACAGCAACCAAACCAATACCAAGATTTATCCATCAAAAAGTTTATCTATTAATTTTACAGCCAGTCCGAACTTGATTCTTACACATACATGTAGTTGGCAAAGTTCATGAAGTTATTCTTTTCTATTTGCAATTATGAAAACTCTACACCTTCTACTTAGATCTTCAACTAATTTGAACTTACATTATTTATGGCAAAATTTGATACATATACATATTTTCAGTGAGGTGAAACCAAGCTGATATTCAACATACCTGGTCCGAAATATCTCCATCATTATTCCTGAGAAAATCAAATCCAGTCGCAACAAAGCCTCTTATATCATCCAAAGCTGTAATAGTAAAGTAAAAAGATAATTTAATATTGGACTGAGTTTTTAAACTCTAAACTGTAAATTTCCAAAAGGAAAAGGCTAGTTCTCAGTTACATGGTATTATTATTTCTTACTACTTGAAACTATTTTCAAGGGGAAAAAAGTGCCCGATGGTATCTGTTTTGTCAATTTATCACCCGATATTCTCTGGCATTGTCATTTTATATTTCTATATTCTTCAGTTCAATTTGATATGGTCAGCTTATAATTTAAAGATCAGGATCTTTGGGTGCTGTTGTACAAGCAATCTTAGCGTTAAGTTCATTGTAACTCCTTACCCTAATACAGTGAGTGAGTGAGTTTAGTTTTATGCCGCACTCAGCAATATTCCAGCTATATGGTGGTGGGCTGTAAATAATGGAGTCTGAACCAGACAATCCAGTGATCAACAGCATGAACATCTATTTAAGCAATTGGGAACCGATGACATGTGTCAACCAAGTCAGTGAGCCTGACCAGTGAGTTACTGAAGATCAATTCTAAACAGGATCTTCACGGGTGTACCCTAATAAAGACTTACAACTGCGCTAAGGTTCTTTTGTACAACATCACCCTACTCCAGACTATCTGAGAGATGCTACCCACTTGCTCCATAAGTAGGTGGACACTCTGAGGCATCAATCATTCCCATGATCCCGAGACTATCCTGGGCTATGTAGTAGATGTGGCCCCCTGCCTTCAGACTGGACAATGGAAACACCACAATAAAAACGTTACATGTAAATAATTTTTCATCACCCAAATCACATATATGACCCCCTTAATCAAACATCACATATTCTTTATGCAAGATATACAGGGAAACAGGATGGTGGGGTAGCCTAGTGGTTAAAGCGTTCTCTCATCATGCTGAACGCCCAGGTTCGATTCCCCATGTGGGTACAATGTGTGAAGCCCATTTCTGATGTCCCCTGTTGTGATATTGCTGGAACATTGCTGAAAGGTTTTACGCGGTAAAACCATACTCCACTATATCACGGGCGGGGACACCAGAAATGGGTTTCACACATTGTACCCATGTGGTAACACGTGTACATACAATATGGCATAGTTAATCCAGTTGTACCTTTTCCCCGCAAGTTCCACGATGTTAGCAATCTCAGCCTGCCTGGAATACACGGAGTCACACACCATGTGGTAACCTTTCAGCAAGTCTTGTACTCTGGGTGTACAGATAGAAAACATGCCTCACTCTCAATGGCAGACAAATCAACTGGCAGTCCTAGCAAGTATATAACTCGAGTCATTACAAACACAAGTTGTTCATTTGTGAAGTTCTTTTATATTTATCAACCTTGCAGTTGATTTTACCTGAACAAAATATGGATACTGTCTGAGCTTGACACAAGCCTCTATGTTCACCTTCTAGGCAGAGACATGGGTTCGATTACAGAGTCCATTTGTCATCCAATAAATAGTTATAAAATAGAAAAATCTCAAGAAAACAATTTGGAATCTCTTCACTAATCTCTTGTTCCTCCTTGATCCACAGCTGTATGTAGGGACAATATATACCCTTTTTTACATTACAAGTCACTGTGACATGTATAACAGACTGAGGAGAATCTGCCAAAGGATTGTAATCTTTAAAGGTGATGCTGCTCAAACTCAACCAGTAACAAGTCTACAAGCATGTGCTATTGCTATGATTTTTTCTATGTTTTCAGAATGAGTTTGGTTGACAACCATCTTGTCAATAGTCAATGGTTTGGGAACAATTATCATTTGGTGAACCGTTTAACATGAGTATGGTGCTGACTAAATTTCTTCAGATATGTCTAACACAGTCATTTCAAGAGGCCAAAATAAAATACATGTAGTTCTGATGGTGCACCTGACATCCTTGTCTTTACATGTCTTCAGGTATGCGGCAACTAGAACAGCCTCCAGCAGGATCTTCGTGGCACTGCCAGACTTCATGCGACTGGAGCCAGTGATTTGCTCAGGCTAGACACAAACACATTTCATGTACTAAAAACGACACTGACATGAGTTTACTCATCCTCCATAATCTTCAGGGAATACGTTACAATAACTCTCCACTAGTACCCTGGATGCATCTATGGCTCGACCCGATAATGTTATTACCTCCCTTTGCTCGCTCCGCATTCTCACAGTAGCCAATCAGCTAAGCTGCCATTACAACCAAGCTTGCCAGTGTCAACAAAGATAGCGGTCACAGCCGCGAGGTCTATTCGCAGTGCGACTCAGATTTTGGGGGAAATCATACAGACAAATTAACACGTCTGAAACCTTAAAAATATATGCAAGAACTCTTTCTACCTCTCTCAGAGTACCTTGGCAACAATTATGTTGCCAACTTTAATCTGTTAGATAAAAGAAGCGAAAGTGAGTTGTGATTGGTACGCTCAGCTTCCCAGCGTAGACACCTGTTTGGATAAAAAGCCAGCCAAGGGAGGTAATAAAATCATGGGGCCAAGCCGTAGATGCATCCAGGGTATAGTGGAGATTTATCGGAACGTATACCCTGGAGATTATCGAGGATGGAGGTTACTAAGAAAACAATGTTTGTGCATGAGGCATCTTTAAAGCACATATGTTCTTCACTCCCATTTAGGGTCACAGCATTTACACTTGGATTTCAACAATGAAAATCTATTTTAAAAATTATTTGTAACATATGTGATTATAAAACAATTTAACAAAATTCGATTATGACGAAAATGAACAAGTTCCAGTTATTGTGTTTGGATAAGAGTTTCATTCTCACCCCAACAGGGTTGGTTAAAGTGTTTATTTGTCATGCTGAAGATTTGGGTTCGATTCACCACATGAGTATAATCTGTGAAGCCCATTTCTGGATTATTACTAAAAGTGGCACTCTTACCCCGACAACTGGGTTTAAGATGTATCCATTTGGATGTGTTTCCAATCTCTGGATAACTGAAACATGACAACATAGACAACACAGTTGAAACATGACAACTGAACATGACAACGGAGGCATGACAACATAACTCGACAACTAAAGCATGACATCATAAAAACATCAACTCGACAACTAAAGCATGACATCATAAAAACATCACAATCGACCCACGACAACATAAACTCGACAGCTGAAAAATAACTGAAACTCGACAACTGAAGCATGATATCATAAACATGACAACATCAACTCGGCAACTTAAACAGGACAACATAAACTTGACAAATGAATCATGACAATTGAAACATGACAAGTGTTGCACGCTCTTCATCAGAATTCAAGTATTCAAGTGCGTGAGTGAGTGAGTTAGTTTAGTTTTACGCCGCACTCTGCAATATTCCAGCTATATTGCGGCAGCCTGTAAATAATCAAGTCTGGACCAGACAATCCAGTGATCAACAGCATGTGCATCGATCTGCACAGTTGGGAACCGATGACATGTGTCAACCAAGTCAGCGAGCCTGACCACCTGATGCCTTTAGTCGCCTCTTACGACAAGCATAGTCGCCTTTTACAGCAAGCATGGGTTGCTGAAGACCTATTCTACCCCGGATCTTCATGGGTCTGTATTCAAGGGGTAGTGGGGTAGCCTAGTGGTTCAAGTGTTAGCTCGTCACCCAGAAGACCCAAGTTTGATGCTTGCACATGTTTAGAATGTGTGAAGCCAATTTCTGAGTACCCTGCCATGATGTTGCTGGAATATTGCTAAAAGAAGTATAAAACCATACTCACTCATGTATTCAAGAGACATGAACAATCCTTCACCTAACAAACATTCAGCGATATTCGAGTTACATCACAATATCCTTGAAATAATAGAGTGAGTGAGCTTAGTTTTACGCTGCTTTTTAACAATATTCCAGACAAATCATGACAGGGGACACCAGAAATGGGCTTAACACATTTTCAAACCCGGGTTTTCGGCATGACAAGAGAATGCTTTAACCACTAGGCTACTCCACCGCTCCTGAAATAATCGAAACTGGGCCAGGTAAACCAGTGGTTGACAGCATGAGCATGGGCACATATAGTCAGGGCATGGTGACACAGCACCCACTACAGACTGATACACAGGAGTAGTAGTTCACAGACACTACACTATCAACACAAGTTAAAAAGTAGTACAGGGTCACGATCCAAAAACGCATAACACTATGACATTCGTAAATCTGTGATAAACTAGTCTTACATGTCGAAACGTTAAGGATGGTTTGTAGATCGGGACCCAGGTGTCTTATTTATAATTTGTTAGTTTCAATGAGATTTAGAAAAATACATTTTAAGTGATACCTTGCTGAAAGGTTTTGTCCCACTTTTCAATAGGAAGATTCCTGGAATGAAAGGAAATGAAACAATAGAGATCTTGTCCAGTCAAACTTCATTATCTCAATTTATATTCCATGATAATAGATAATATGGCATAATTGTTGATTAGACCATTTTTGCGTATTTGTAAGTTTGGGTAGGTAAAAGTAAAAAAGGCAGGTGAGGTTAAATATAAAACCTACAGAGGTATGTATTGTCTGTTACACTTACCTGGCTGGACAGGTGGGGTTAAATATAAAGCAACACAGGTATGTATTTGTCTATTACATGTACCTGGTTAGACAGGTGGGGTTAAATATACGGTAATGCAATACAGGTACATATATGTCTGTTACACTAACCTGGCTAGACAGATGGGGTTAAATCCCAGCAACACAGGTATGTATTTACCAGGCTGCTCCATACACAAGTGAAGCTGTCCGGCCACAAATGGAGCTGATAACCCACATGTTATTCCTATAAATAATACCCTTTCCTTATCTTTGCATACCTGAAAGAAAAATTACACCTTGATATATAAACAAATAATCCTTGCAGATTTTTCTTTTTAGTTCATTTTCATAAATCAGTGTGGAAAAGATATCTGACATCATTTCTATGAAGCATTTTAATAATAAGATGTCTTAACACGAATATCATCCAGCTGCTGTCTACATGCCCCTTCATGCTGAAGAGTAGCTGTTTTCCACTGAGATAATGGAGATATTGGTTACCATAACAACAGTATGGCCATCATAGGCGGATCAAGAGGGGTGCAGGGGTGTGCTGAAAGTTTATTAAATGACCGTTGAAACTCTCATGAAAATGGTTGAAAACGAACTGTGTACCCCTCACCTAAAAAAGCTTTATCCGCCCTCTCCTTCCATTTTCAAAAGATTTACTGATTCATTTTGGGGATTTAAAGGATACTGGTGGTCAGTGGAACCAACAGTGGTCTAAGGATTAATTTCTTTCCTCTGTATTGACACAGCAAAGTGTCATGTCACTCATGAAATTGATACAAAATAGTGCCATGGAGCACAGTGACAACCATGATTGCTCAAGACGCTGTAAGCAATCCCCCAAGAAGAAGGTAAAGACCAAATACATCAGACTGCAGCGACATCTTCAGAACTTGTGTATTGGGTTGGGTGGAACATTCGATTTAACAAAGAATTTTGATTGATCGTGTATGAGGAACTGTGATTAGTAACTGTGATTCATGATTGATCCTCTGTGAGGAACTGTGATTTATGATTATGTCTTTGATCCTGTGATTTATGTCAAAATTAACATATTAAACAGTTACTAAACAGTAATTGTGACATTTTTCCTGTGACTTTTTTCCTAGCCAAATTGTGACTTTTTATCCGAGGACTATTTTTCCTGTGGCTTTCTTTTTCCGATCACCGGTGGCCGAGCCAAAGTTGCTTACGACCCTGCCTTGACAACTGACACCAGGCCATGGCACAAGCTCATTTGGCTTTCAATCTGGGGAGCTAAACAGACTTTTCAAACAGTTCAGGTATTGGATGACATTGCAAACAAATGATATTGTTTTTTTTGGATCCATTAGTTACAAAAAAGGACTACTGCTTACTTTGTTTAGTACCTCCATACCACATGGAGGGTCGTCCTCTACAGCTTCCTGGGACGTGAACAGAGCTCTGAAACAGTCATTGTCAGTACCAACATCTGACGTAGGCAGTGTGATTGTCACATGGTAAGACTCACACTGATATGCTACAGTTGATTGGATCTTTTCACTTGTCTCGTGATTTATTTATATTTTAAGTTATGGTAGAAAGGCAAAATGACAATGTTAAGTTAAAATAACCACATATGAAAAATATAGTGGTAACAAACACCTACAGTGATATATGGCCAATACTTCACCCTCTTTATCACCTTCACCGTATTCATGTCATAATCATAACATTTTATCCCATGATTATCAAAGCTCCTTTCAATACAGGTACTGACATAATCTGCCAAACTCTGGACATGGTAGGGGTGTTCGGGATGATATTTAATAAAACTAGGACTGACTGACTGAGTTTTGGTTTTATGGAGCTTTTAGCAATATTCCAGCAACATCACAGTGGGGACACCAGAAATGGGCTTCACACATTGTACCCATGTGGGCATTCAACCCGGTCTTCGGGCGGATTTGAGCCAACGCTTTAACTACTAGGCTACCCAACCGCCCGATAAAGCTAGGAAACTGCAACAGTAGGAAGGTAAAGGTTTGTTTGTTGTTTAACACCCACTCAGTAATTTTTCAGCAATATGACACTGGATTGAAAATAATTTAGTCTGGACCACACAATCCAGTGATTAATTTTATGATATTTTTGTTATCAGCTTCTTGTTTACACCACACTCAGAAATGTCCAGCTGTACAATGTCGGTCTGTAAATATTTGGGTTTCGACCAGACAGTCAAGTCATTGACATGAACATCAATCTACCAAGTCAGTGTGCCTGACCCCAAACTCGTCAGTTATTTATTATTATTATGTTATTATTATTGGATATTTATATAGCACACATATCCATGCAACTAGTACATACTCAAGGCGCTGGTATTTTTTCCCTCGATCATTGATGTCAATCTCAATGGCACATTGTATTATCAATCTCAACTCCCTGGGGAGCATACAATTCTTGCAGCCACTAGGCGCACCGAGTTATTGCGGCTTTCTTATCCTTACGAGGTACCCATTCACAGCTGGGTGGACTGGGACACATAGTCACAGTACTTTGTCCAAGTTTACTGCGCTGCTGTACCCGCAACTAGGTGTTTGCACGTATTCATGTGGCCACCATCTGGTCATATACCAACGGATTCGTGGGTTCTATTAAGTGCACAATTACCTACCTGTCTCCCCCTGCCATGATGTAGTGACAACATGGCTCCCTGCCGGCACTCTTCAGCTTCATATTGAATGTTCTCTGAACAGAAAGGACAGCACAATTACTTATACAAACATGGCAGTGTTGCAGGACACATGAAACTGCCATTATGTGCCAAGTATTGTCTACTCACTCGCATGAACAACAAGGAAAATGAAATAAACTTTTAAAATCTTCTTAAAACAGTTGACAACATAGAATTGTCATAACTTCATACACATAAGCAATTATCTCTTCAGAGCCCTTTCCCCTTACAGTGGGAGGGAAAGAAGAATTGCACGGGTCTACCTCTAAAGGGATTTGTTTCTGTAAATATATAAATATAACAGCATCAAATTACAGGATTTCTGCAAAAAGGTTACCATGGATTCTGACCGTGAATTTCTTCTGTTTCTGAAAATGGTCATTTTCTTCATTTACATGAGTGAGTTTAGTTTTACGCCGCACTCAGCAATATTCTAGCTATATGGCGGTGTATTTTACATGAAACAGATCACTTCTAATGCAAACTGTATAATTCTAGAAGTTGCGATGAACAAGAAACTGTTATCCATAAAGTCATATTCTTCATTATTCCAATGCACCTTGATCAGCGGGTATCCTGATTGTACCATGAGAAGATGTGTTCAATGGGTTAAAACCCCAAGTAGTTCATATTGAAGACTTCTATAACTGTGATGCAATCCCCAAATGCTGGTACATTGAAATACCTCAGAGTAATATTGCTCTTACAGCGGTTATAAAACCTAGTCTTCCAGACGTCCCACACCCACTGAAGACAATGGCACCTCGGCTTCCAAGCTTCAACACAGACAATGAATATACTGTTAAATCATTATTTCACAAAACATGACTCATTCACTGCATGGTCAGGTAAAATCTGAACCAAATACAATTGACATTATTTAAGAAAAGTAACATCTTACAGAGTTTCACACTGACTTAAACATGTTTCATTCATGAAATTTATCAGATTAAAGCTACACTGTATAGATCACTGTCTACATTTTCACCTTAGATATTCAGCCTTACAAGTCAGCCAATATATTGTTGACTGTTACCTTCATGATTTCAACAGCCTTGGTTGCTATGGCAGTGAGTGTTTCCAGGATCTTGGCATCAAACATCCCCTGAAATATGTCAATAACATCATACTACAGGTTGGAGTGAGGATCAGCTGGATCATTGTGTGGGTGGGTGTGTAGATCAGTGTGAAGGTGGATCAGCAAGAAAGTGGATGAGTGGGTGGATCAGTGAGATGGTGGATCAGTGTGAAGGTGGATGATTGGGTGGATCAGTGTGAAGGTGGATGATTGGGTGGATCAGTGTGAAGGTGGGTCATTGGGTGGATCAGTGAGATGGTGGATGATTGGGTGAATCAATGAAAGGGTGGATCAGTGTGAAGGTGGATGATTGGGTGGATCAGTGAGATGGTGGATGATTGGGTGGATCAAGTGAATGATGGTGAGATGATTGGGTGGATCAGTGAGAAAGGTGGGTGGATCAGTGAGATGGTGGATGATTTGGTGGATCAGTGAGATGGTGGATGATTGGGTGGATGAATGATTGGGTGGATCAGTGAGATGGTGGATCAGTCAAAAGCAGATTAGTAAGCAGGTTAATCGGTGATTGGTTGTGTCAGTTCTTTTTCACATTGTTCAGTCATATACCTGACATAGTTTACGTAAAAGAATTGATAATATCTGATATGAATTAAATTTATCTTACTGGGTAATTCTGCCATCCAGAAAAGATTTCCTCGTCACATGTTTGCAGGATTGAAATTATATCTATAAAAGAACACAAATTCAATCATGAGAACAAAATCAGAAAATCAAAGGAAATATCAGGGAAAACAAGATATTTTAACCATGTGCTAAATATGATCAATCATAATAACAAATACAAATATTTCATCCATAAATATTGAAAACTGAAGGAGAAATTAATTAGAAGAAACAATATAATAATGAAAAACAAAATTCGAAAAGAAAAGTATACAAGCCTTGAGGTGTTGAGACGTCAATGTTGACAGACAGTGGGTTAACCCGCTCTGTGACTGGCTGTTCAGCTGACATCCCTTCACAGTGCATGGAAACATTGTATTAATGATGTGGTGGGATATAGTTAACAATATACAAGGGTTATAGTGTATGTCAATAGCTGAAACACTGTTGCATTAGCCATGGAATAACATTTAAATATCCTATAGCTAGAAAGCCATATCTTGATCTGCAATTATACAATTATGCAATCTAACTACACTGACATATTAGTGACAAGGTCTGGATATACTGTCTAAATATACTGTGGATGACAGCTGGTTTATCCTACGTGCTGAATGATTAATTAGTTTGTGTAGTTGCTCTAAGCACGTTACTTGCATGTGTACACTTATATACATACTGACACATGCGGCAATCTACCAAAGTCAATGATATCTGGAGTGAACATATCATGTACGTATAAGACTATTCACCGTTAATGGGCGTTATGCTATTTCCTGGTATTCTCCCCACGAACATCTAGTACAGCTCGCCAAGGCAGGTGATCTGAACTGTCGCCCGTCCAGCTGACACACTTTTTGTTATCTAGCTGATAACACCGGCAAACCGGAAAATTCATTTCCACAGTGGGAACTTTGTATCGTAACCTCCCTGGTTGAAATAAAAATCTCGTCATCAAGTGTGTTTTAGAGTTATCTACCCTTGGATACTACACTGCCTTATTGCGATACGATTGGTATGAATATGTTGCATATCACATCACTTTGTACAAACAGAAAAACATCTAACGATAACTCTAATAATACCATAATATATTTCCATCTTACAGACAAAACGGGAATGACTTGACTACCAAAATTAACAGAATATGTCTAATCGTCCACTATAAGTGCTGTTTATTTGGAAATGAGTGAGTGAGTGAGTTAATATTTAACGTCACATCGGCAATATCTCAGCCATATCGTGACGAATTTGGAAATGAAATAATAGACATCTTTTTAAAAAATTGAATTAATTTAATTGAATTGAATTGAATTAGAATAGGTAGCCAAGGGATACTGAATTCAATTTGAGAGCTAGTACTTTGCCTCAATCCCCAAACATGGGTTCATTGGTTTCTGATAGCGTGTTGCAAAGGCTACATGCGTTACTGTATAGATATCCTGTTTTGTGTGACATACTGTTTGTAGGTAGGAAATGATGCAGAGTTTTGTATTGAAACATTAGTGTTTACTATTGACTCAGTACATGTAAAGGTTACATCATACTTTTTGCCCTGTCCTCTGCAGATATTTCTTCTTGTAAAATATGGTTCTATTTTGTTGAATGTTACTTTTTCTCACGTTTCTTTACTAAACATTCCCGAAGACATTCGGTATCTTTTCATACTTCTGAACTTGGTGCAAATTATAGATCTAATGGCATTTAAAAGAGGTATAATAACAATGATATAAGACATAAGAGATATATCTTGTATACTCTTAAAAATGTAGGGGAACCTGTACTTTCTATTTGAGAGGAAGTATAAGCTTATACAAACTTTTCAAAGAAGGACATCTTTATAAACGCACCACCATTTCTCTTTATCACCACCCCTAAACACAACGCATGGGGTGACCTTAAAGCTAGAATGGTCATAAGAGTAGAATAATTATGAAACGCATGGGATGCATGTGCACAACGCAGTAGCCCCATACACGTGCATGGGCTGTGATTCCTGCTTTTGACGGTTTTCAAGAAGGTCGATAAATCACTGTACGCCATTAATTTTGACAATCATCTTGCATCACACACTTGTTAGTGTTTGTTTCAAGTCGAGTTGGTTTTTTTTGAAAATGAAAATGGTACACATGCAAATTTGACGTCATACACCAATCATCTTTCAAGAACGATTACTGTACAAACAACTAAGACAGTGCAGTGGTAATGCACTCTCAAAACATTCATTATTATCACATCAACATTGATTGACTCCGATATATCTCCCATTTTTTTCAATCGTAAAATAAAAACTTCCCTAAGTTTTTTTTAAGAGATGTAAAGACTCTATACATGTTTGTTGTTTAACTGCATTGTCAAGTTTAAGTGAGTGACAGACGAATGGAGGGAATGAGCGGTTTAACGTCACTTTAAGCAATATTCCTAGCAATATCAGGGCCGGGGACACCAGAAATGGCTTCACACACTGTACATAATGTGAATTGTTTCCATAACATGATTTCCTTTTCATCTGACAGCCTCGATCCCATATCTGATAATTAGCATGCATAACCCATAGCATCGGACACATGGAGCTTAGTGTGAAGCAATTAACTATAGGTGTGAGAATGCATGAATACTTAATTATCACGGAGTGGCTTGCCGAATAACGCGTGACGATTTATTGTTATGACACTGTATATCGACCTAAATCCTATATTTACCTATATTCACGTAACCTGTTAGATAAGATAAACTGAATGATATCAGTGTTTAAAACGAACCAATAGTGTTTGTGCAATTTTCAAACCACGCAGAATTAGTGTGTGTCCGATTTAATATAATTGCTCAGAAAAAAATAAAACGTTCTTTTTGACTAAATAGATTGCTTTGACATAATCGGGTAACCATTCAAATAACAGATGCATACAACAGTTGTGTGAAAAGGTTATCAGTGCACGTTTCAAGTTTAAAAGATAACGGGAAAAGGTCGGCTGGCGGATAGTCTAGTGGATACATTCTATTTGAGAGGTCTATAGATTGCTATATAGTTAAATATATCAACAGACAGAACTCGACTTCAGAATGCCGAATGTTAACAATATTGGGATATATTTTATTTTGGGGGCTTTGTCCCATTCATTAAATCACCGGACCTTTTAGTTTTGTTCCTACTTTTGTTTACATTCACGCCCACTCGATTGCTGGGCCGCCACATTCCTTGGATAAGGAGTTACCTCCCATGAATGACGTAAATAGCCGATGTTATACTCGGCTAACTTCGGCAAAATATTGTGCCTGCGTCTATAGCTACATGGTGCCGACCTAGCTACGGCTGTTATTATTTACTTAGATACACGAGCAGTATACCCAATGAGCGTTCGCACAGCCGGCATAACATTGTGAGGGACACAGACAGGCCCGAATGACAGCACACGAGGGATTTTTAACCATCTGATGCTGTATAGGCGATCTGGTCGGTTTGTGAAATTCGCCGTAACCACGGACGCTATCGTGTAGGCACGCCTGCTGGATTCCTCTGTTTGTGATCTGGTGTTTCAAATAGATCTTTTGTTTATTTGAACATTTTTGCAGCTGAACATGGGTTGCAAACAATCGAAAGCGGTACGGGTCCAACCCGTCGGACCGGCTTCTGTTGTGCATGATAATACGGACGATGTTGAAATTTGTGATTCTGGAACTCAGACGAAAGACAGAATAAAATCGGGAAATCCAGACGACCAGTATGAATATGACATAGATGATCAAGGAAATAAAGTTAAGAAACTAAGGAAAAAGAAGAAAAGCAGATCGGCCAAGAGTCAGAACTCTTTGAACTCTTGTGACACTCTCGAGGATGACCAGTCCCTGGAAGGTGATCGTGGATTCTCGGCCGGGTCCAAGAAGAGCGCGGACTCTGGACTCGGAGAATGTGATGAATATTCACATGTAATCACGGAATTCTCTAATCCAAATGAAGTTCAAAAGATTGAAAACGAATTCGGTGGAGAGAGGGAAGACTTAGGTTCGTTATTATTATATATATAATATCATTCCGTTATTTTCCATTAGTATTTGTAAGAATGCTTGTGTCACAATTAAGCATTCTCTAATAATTAATTATTCTCCAACTAAACAAAACACGATTATTATTTAGAGGTGGCGCAAATTCAAATGTTATGATACAAGAGCATAATGTATTTACTATGATAGTGTTTTCTTTTTGTTTATCTGCTGAAATGTAATGATCTATTTCTATCTTTCGCTTTAACAAACCCCTATGAATATGTACTGATAATCAGTACACAGCAGTATAATGTAAAACTGATAATCAACACTGCAGTATAATGTAATAGAAATATGGATATAGTGCCATGATTTTACCACGGCATTACTAAATGCAACATTAATGTACCCTACAAAAACAGAGAAATATAATTGGCGGACACCCCCCCCCCCCCCTCAAAAAAGGGGTGGGGGGTTGGGGAAGAAATGCTGTTCAGGGGTACGGTGATCACACCCCACCCCACCCTTGAAAATTCCTAGATCCGCATATAAATATATAACCATCAACCTAAAGGTCGTTAATTGGACATTTTTCACGTGTGATGAGATACAATACCAATATGCCATGATGATGCCCTTCTTGGCTCATAAATAAAAAACACATTTTAAGCTAGGCCCTTGTACTGCGCAGTTATTTTTGGCCGTCACATAGCTTGGATATTGCTGAGTATGGCCTTAAACAACAAATGATTGGGGGGCTTCAAATCAGATTATGTGTGCATTTCTACTTTTCTTAACATATGTACATTGTATGTGGATTAAAAAGACGTGTTGATATGCACAATCATGGTGATTAACAATGAAGTTATTGTATGCGTAAGAAATATCACCGATGTTTTTTTTCACTTGCATTTTCCGGCATATTCCAGTCAAACATTATCAATAACCCAATATTCCCCCAGAGAAGCATGATGCCGTGCTGGTCAAATGCACACGATTATCCCCCTGTCATCTCCAACTACTCTCACAACCTTAATCTATTGTCCTTGAGAATTAGGCGATACTTATTAATCCAGCATTAAGTGCTTCAATCGCATCAAGATTTGCATTACGCTAGTGTTCAGAATGGACCATTATGGAGTATTGTATAATTCGATAGTTGCTTATTGAAAAGAAACGCCGGGGTTTCTTGACATGTCTGTTCGGGAATCATATTGAGCTGTGTTGGCGGTAATAGCTCGCAATTGACCGTGAAACGGATTACATTGACTAAACCCTTGCTTTACCGAAAACAGTATTGATTATAAGTAGTTCTTTGGGAGCGCCAATATATAAAGTCTTTATTATGCTACCGTAGATTTGGAGAATACTTAGGTGTGATTAGTAAATCAGAGGTTTCAAATAGGAATAACGTGTATCTGATTAAAGCAATCGCATCAACATAGCAGGAACTATTCACATTGAAATGTCCGTTTTTCTCATTCTCCGTGGTTACGATTTCGATTCCACATTTTACTTCGTGATCTTCAATTTACGTCACATTCCTTAAAATTCAGATCATAACCTGTAGGTCCGACAGAGCACAAAATATTCACAACTTCATAATTAAACAAGTTGTTATAGGCTTAGGTGTCCAAGAGTCTATAATAATTACATGTATAATAATTACAGAGCGCCAGGGAACACGATAATGATAAATAATCTCTGGAATAAGTCTACACATAAATCCTTAGAGGTATCCAAGCCAACATAATTCTGACATGTGTTAAACCTGGCCATGATAAATTCATGAAACTTCTTTCTAGCATTGAATTTTGAGTCCCTTTTGACACAAATACAATTGACAGGATTAAAGAAAACCATGGCAAACAAGCTGACTTCGCTACGAAATGTCGCACTTTGCATCCTAAATACCAACATGTCCGATTCCCCATTTATCTTGGAGCCTTAGGTTTAGTACCTCACCAAGTGTACCGGGGTTTGCTGCTAGGAACACAGCTCTTATGACTCTCTGAGTAATGCAGAAGACTGCAGTTTGGGGGAGTCCACACATTCTACGAAAGGTTCTTGGTGGGTTCAACTAGGAAGCGCTTGCTGAGAGATGTCCATTGTCTGGGATGCATGTAAGGGGGCCCTGAGACTGTGCGAGGACCACCAGCCTGACTTTGGCAGGAATCACCCAAACCTCTGTTGCTGTATCCATTTAGATTAATGTGTAAATGATAACAACCATCTACATGTCGAGCATTTATCACTTAGTTACTAAAATATATATTGGTTCATATATCGAGTAAGGTGGCGTCATATGAATTAATTGAAAAAGAAATCGTTTTTTCCAAAACACTACGAATCCCGAACTCCTCAATGCTACAGATGTAGAGAAAAAAATGAATTATGTTCCGACAACAATGGAGGTTAAGACAACATTGCCTAGTCTCATACGATAACTCCGAGAAACACTTAACAACTCCTACTTGACTTGAGCGGTGTACGAAGTGGTTGTTGTGTAGACGTTGTCAGTGGCATTGTCGTGAGTCTGCTGTCACTCAAGCACCTGCCTACCCCATACCGAGCCATTACGAGAACTTACCTACCTGAGGTGTGATTATAGGGAAAGAGACACGCTAACTCGGTAGCAAATCCCACTAGGTATCATCACGCTAATTCGAGACCAACGCATCGTGTTATTATTCCGTATCGGTTCCTACAAGCAAGCTAATTAAGTTCCCTCTATACGTGACAGATGATACCGTGGCACATCTAGCACTGATGTCTCGCCTTACTAATATACATGTATACCAGTTTGACGACGTAATAGTTGCAGGTCGGACAGGTTTGAATATGTTATATTACCGTACGCAATCTCTTTGCCTACACATGCATATTCTATGTGGTATTCTTCGATCTACATATTGTTTCAGAAAAAAAATTGTTTTAGTTTTCTATTGACCAATGCCATTAGCTCAAACCTTTAGTCACTTAGATGCTGAGGGGATGAGTCGCTCCATGCACGATAGAACTTTTAGCTGTACAAGTCAAGTAAAAATAGTGTATTTGTGGTTGAATCTTTGCCCAATGTACAAGAGAAGTGACAGTAACACGCTGTGAAACATGTGACGTAGTTTTTATGACGTTATATGTTTTTAGTTACCATGATACACATATTATATATTATTGCAGGCGTTTTGATAAATCATTCTGAGATACTCAACAAACTTTAATATTTATACTTAGTTTGAAATACCGAGCACAATAATCATTACTTAACTTCATGAATATATGAAATGATATTGATCTCAGGACCATGCGTAAAATGTGATTCAAAAGACTGCCATCGACCCACGTTCTTAGCGGAAGTAAAAATCGTTACATCTTAATAAAAACACTCTCTGACGTTGTAATTACTCAATTATCCTTCAAACTCAAACGCTGCTTTGTGTTGTTTATGCACCACACATTGCTCTTGTTCAGTGTTGACATCCAGTTTTGACGTAACTGTAGGGACGATGTAATTCTGTAAAAACGTTTGTGATTGTCATCGCGTTTTCACAGTGTTTGGGTATTGCTATGTTACTGCATTGTATGGTGTTATGTTTTCGTATCTCACACGCATGCATCTGAGGTTATCATGGAAGGCAATCATTCGTGTAGATTACATAACACACTCGTATCTTAAAAGGGAGAGTCATGATAATGATATTTATTATTGTTAGCATGTTTAGGGGCGGTTGTGTTAGTCATGTGGTTGGAGCGTTCGTCAATTACGCCGAAAACACTGGTTTGATTTCATTATTCTGAGTAAAAACTGATGGCTGCTTGCGTCTTGTTTTGAACAGTAGTTCTGTTATATCACGGCGTTATGTCAGCCTGATATTGGATTACATCCTGACGTGATGTAGGTCGGGGAAGTTTACCGCGTGATGCCGTATGATAAATATACCCGACAGACCAATACATCACCATGGAACTGGACCTCAATCTGAAACGCCTATAGCGCCTATTGAGTGACGATATTACAGCTCCTTGGGTGGTTGGACCACTCGTGTCTCCTGATTAGTTATTTATTCACGTACTATACGCGTATATACGATACAGTTGGTTATTTCTAAGTTCAGGTACTATACGTATATACAATACAGTTGATAAAATATTCACCTACTATACGCATATACGATACAGCTGGTTATTTATTCACGTACTGTACGTATATACGATACAGCTGGTTATTTATTCACGTACTGTACGTATATACGATACAGCTGGTTATTTATTCACGTACTGTACGTATATACGATACAGCTGGTTATTTATTCACGTACTGTACGTATATATACGACACAGCTGGTTATTTATTCACGTACTATACGTATATATGATACAGCTGGTTATTTATTCACGTACTTTACGTATATACGATACAGCTGGTTATTTATTCACGTACTGTACGTATATACGATACAGCTGGTTATTTATTCACGTACTATACGTATATATGACACAGCTGGTTATTTATTCACGTACTGTACTTATATACGATACAGCTGGTTATTTTCTTCTCGTGCTATACGTATATACGATATACAGCTGGTTATTTATTGACGTACCATACGTATATAACATACAGATATGGAGAAAATTACAGACTTTTAAAACCTCACAAAATATTTAAAGCCAAAAAGTTTCGATTAGCCATACGAATATTATATGATATTTTAAACCTCTTTCCAGATCTCATGGTTACTGGGAAGCCTTGTCAAAAGAGACTGAGTGCTAAGGACAAAAATCGACTCGAAGAATCAATGATCATGCAGGCTTTGAGAGAAGAAGGCCTGATCACTAAAACAAAGACAGAGTCTACAGGAGGAGTGAGTTTTGAAATTGTTGCTAAAGAGGATGCAACGAGACCTCCTCCTCGGCTTGCCAAGCTTGAAAAGAGGAGGAAGAAGAAAAAGACGCTCACAGAGGAAGAAATTCAGGAGAAACTCGAGAGAGCAGAAAAGAGGAGAAAGGTTTGTATGTTTTCTTTGTGGTAGACGTTTAGCGTTGAATGATGGAAAATTAACTAGTGAAAGACGTATTTGTGCCCGTACACTTACTTCCAGGAAATGCCCCCAGCTGGTATTCTGAGGCAGAAGAGGTCCCATAACTTGGTCTCAAGGGCTAACTTATAAGATTTGGGGGTTACAATGTTTGACCTGGTGGATAGCATGCCTTCGTGTACCGACAGCTTGGGAACATATGAACACTGACACTGGTCTGTCTGTCCCGACTATATCATTGAGAGGTCGACGTGGTCTGAGACGGAGATGTCCCTCACTGCAAAGCAAAACATCACTCGACATGTTCTTCCACCCTCAACGACGTTACTTCTTACGTACAAGACCCGTGAAGGTCCGGGTTAGAATGAGCCTTCAGTAACCCATGCCTGTCGATATAGCTGGAATATTGCTAAGTGCGGCGTAAAACTAAACTCACTCACTCACTCTTACGCACAATCCCGTACCGGTATCAACACTGACTTGTAACAGCGGAAGTCAGACTTCGAAAGTCAGGAATATTAAATCGAGGCCCACACAGAAATAAAGAAACCTTTTTCAAATTCAGACTTATACTCGTAAAAGAACTCCAAATGTCGAAATGAATTCTAGCACAATGTTTTTGTGATACTACTTCATATGTTAATACAATAACGCCTTCCGCGTGGCACATAATCCCAGTTGCCGTAATGTAACAAATCTTATACATGATTGATGCCTGGTACAGTCCGTATAGCTGAGAACAGCACCCAGTGAATAATCAGACTTGTTAAACGCTGCCAGGTAGATCGATGTAGTCTGGAGTTGTATGCGAACTCTTGGCTTTATCAGTCAAATAATCGATGGCAAGGCTGGAGGTCACACGCCTTCAAGAGTCTGTAAACATGCGTTTCTCGGCAACTAGGACTTACGACTTGGTACCTATCCCAGCGTGTTACTTATGAATGAGGAATCAAGATTAGTTGTGAAGTATGCAGGGAATAGTAGACTCTCTTTGTGATAGGTCATCAAGTTTAGTTACTGCTGATCCAGGAGGTCGATAAAGATTTATTACTTCTTCATTTCGATGTACTTCATTTTATTACATATAATTTCAAAGGGGATACACCATATACAAAGGGGAAACAGTATATTATAACAAATTACAGTTAACAATATTTATACGCCCTTGAAATCAGTGACATGTAGTCATCAAAGATCAGTATTTGTTGGAGGATATTTATATACTTAAACGCCACTTCTGTAGTTGAAAAACCGTGATGTTACAGTGGTGGTGGTTTTGTATTACGTATACTGAATATGCCACTACAGGGGTGTACGGGGTGGTAAGAGCTGAATAGGTCCACCACAACCTCAAACGTCAATGTGTGTACACGATCGCTCTGCTTGTAAAATCCCGTCCACCCTGCTACTGGCTGAAGACACGAATAATTTTAACCATCCGAGTATTTAAGTTACAATACATGTTTTCGGGGAAGTATTTTGTGACGATTAAATCATTTAATCACCATGAGAATAACATTATATAAACCATACCCTTGGGACATCACGTGAAATTTATGAGCGCATGAGATCGGTACTGGTTGGCCAGCCGACTTCACGTGTGTTTTTAACAAGACGGTCGTTCATATACGTTTAGCTTGATTTTAACGAGTACACATATTGTTGGTTTGAGACTTCATCCATGACTATTGAACTTAGTATCATGTTCAGCCTACACGGTGTGTTGGTTCGTTGTTTAACGCCGCACTCAGCAATATTCCAGCTATATGGCGGCGGTCTGTAAATAATCGAGTCTGCACCAGACAATCCAATGATCGACAGCATGAGCATCGATCTATGCGATTGGGATACCGAACCTGACCACCCGATCCCGTTAGTCGCCTCTTACGACAAGCATTGGTTGCTGAATTCTAACCCTGATGTGGGCAGTTGCTCAATGTGTAGTGCTTCCGGTAACTACTCGTCCCTGTTATGTCCAGGTGTGATAGCTACCTGCCGCCCTGGATTATGCTGACTTGGCATAAAACAACACTCACTCACTGTGTTGTACTGAAGTACCGCCGACATGGTGTAATATGTTTCTCTATGTCCGTTTTCAGAGGAAAGAGCAGGAACGGCTGGAGAAGATCAAGGAGATTGACAAAAGCGACCACCTGGCTGCTCTAGACAGTTTTGCCAAGCACCAGCAGGAGAAGGTGGAGCAGACGACACAGAAGATGGACCAGGTTATTGACAACAGGGAGAGGAGGATGAAGGAAATTAGAGACAAGATAAAGTCTAAAGAGAAGCACGCGGAGGAAGTTAGGAGAAGGAAGTTGGCCCAGGTCGACACGAGTGACAATTTATCAGGGGCAGATAACCCAGCGTTTGACCAAACTGTGTAGGGACGTGAAGGAAGATACAAATGGTGTTAAATGAATAAAACTTTAACCTGTATCATGTGTGCATATGATTTACCAAACAAAGTCAATCATATAAAGTCCAAAATCATGAACTGTAATGAATAACATGTGGGTCAAGGCTGTCGCTATGTTAAGTAGCAAAATAAGGATGTAAGTCACAATGGAGACATAACAGTTTCGTTATTGTAAGAAAATCCTTGTTTTTCGATCTTTTTGAACAAGGATCATGCATTGTCAATATTCAGGGTGTTTTACCCGGGGTGTTCGTGGGCTTATTAAATCTCCTTGCGGATGATGATGATGATGATGATGATGACGATGCCTTCTGACTGGGAATAAAGACGCCAGTATTCACCTTCTTAACTGTAATTACGGGTATATAATTCCTCTGGAACCTGCGCCAAGTTCTCCTGTCAGTATTAGAGGTTTATGCCAGAATGCGCCTCCGTGGGGAAGCTAAGGGAACTGTGATAATAAGTTTACGAACTTACCGTTACTTGTTTATATTAAGCCGATATCTCTACTATTACCATTGTTTGATTTAAATATTTGACATATACATATGAATAATTCCTATAGATACCTGCCAGTCACGTGTCAGTATTAGTGTCCCATGCCAGAGTGTAAAACGATGATGGTCCACAGCCGGACTGTGATACGTTTACGAAGTGAACGTTACGATTTTGTTTTTCAACGTATATATCGATTGTTATGACGAAATTATTTACATTTGTTTGATTTTAAATATTTAACATATGAATACCAAACTGTACATAGTGTATATATTATCTGTCTCATTGTAAATGATCATGTAAGTTATTTCAAGCCATAATCAGCTTGTGTTGAATGTTTATCATCGGGTACTTAAGGCGTACTCTGAGGGGTAGAATAATCAGACATCATGAACTTATGTACTAACCACTACACAACGTAAGGTTCGGAATTCATGCTTAAATCTGAAATATCTCAAATAAAGGTATTTATTAAGAATCTCGAGATATGTGTAATTTTATGGAACTCTCAGAGTGAAAGATTATTGACTTAGGTATTTTGACATTGGTTGCTGGAACGCGACACCCAGATCTACCAAACCTTTAGCTCTACGGCTACAGTAGAGATGTACAAAACACATGTAGTAGCGAACAGGTCGCTATGAACACCCTGATGCTCTATTAGATAGGGATTAAAATGAATAGTTATTACATTAGTTAAAGTAACGGATCCGATGGACCAGGGCCCCGTTTCACGAAGCTCTCGTAAGCCTAAGTTCTCGTAACTTTTCTTGTAGCGTCGTACCTCCTATGTTACAGTATAGGAGGTACGAATGCTACGAGGAAAGTTACGAGATCTTAGGCTTGCGAGAGCTTTGTGAAACGGGGTCCAGGCTCGCTGACTTGGTTAACACATGTCATCATAGAGCGATGCTCTTGCTGTTGGTCAGTGGATTGCCTGGTCCAGACTCGATTATTTACTGACTGCCATGTAGCTGTAATACTGCTGAGTGCGACGTTAGAGATTCAAACAGAGAGTTCCTGTGATGTTTTCATCTTGCCTATTCAGCGCACTGTTTTCATGTGTGTGTATGTTTGTTGATCAGTATTACGGAATCATTGCTCATTGCTCAAGCGAGCATCACTGATGTTTGAATAAAATATTTTGACTTGACAATTTCTAGTTGTTGTTTTCTCTCTTGAATTGTGCTGTCTTTTCGTCGTTATTTCAGAAATATATACTTCATGCCGGGGTTTCCTTAACCTACGAATTCATTATGTTGTGTGGTGTTGTGTACAGGTGAGGTGATGTGAAAGAGGGTCATCGTCTGGTTCTCGTTCGGTATTGTGGACATTTGCACGGTGGCGTGCATACATACATGCGTGCGTGCGCGCGTGTGTGTGAGAGAGAGACTCCGTCCCCTTTAACGCCTGTGGGGTAAAACAAAGTATACCTTTACTTAGGAGATAAACGTACTGTGTTTGGAAATTAGATAAATGATTAATTTAGAGACTATCAATTCGGTCTAACATTTATCTAATTTCCAAACACAGTATGTTTATCTCCATTCTACCATAACCGATTTAAAATCGAACTTCTTCGTTCTGCGGAAGACACTACCGGGATTTCCCGTATTTAAGCCCACTCGAAATTACGCCCATGGGCTTAAAAACGGGATATTTTCCCATTATTAAGCCCATGGGCCTAAATTAAGATTTCAAATATTATTGTTCAGAGTGACGTCCCTTTGCAAAAGCACGTGGCGAACGTCAGCATATATAACGTTTGTAGTGCAGTTAGAGTTTTTCACGTGTAAAGAAAGTTTCGGAGTCCCAAGAGAGGTCAGTACTCTATACTCAAATAGACAATCTCAATCCATATGACTCAAACGCAGTCGCAATAAATGATAATATCATTATTAACGTTCATTCCATTTTAGCTCAGTTACAAGCATTTCCCTAATTTAAGCCCTGGGCTTAATTATGTGGTTTATATTTGTTAATCCCAGTACGTAATCCGGCATGGGACGAGATGCGATTTGAACTCGTCTGTGAAGGGACTGGTAGGTGCCGTTCGTATTTTGTTTAACACTGCCACTTAAAAACTATTCTGTCCAAAGAAAGCAAACTACTGTTTATTCAATGCAATAATGTGATACCTATGAGCTTGGTTTATATAATCCCAACTTCACAATACCGAAACCAGCCTACTGTTTCGTGTTCCGTGTTACTCTACACCCCTGGCCACACTATAATGGAATCGTCTGATCTACTTATTTTCTTGGAAGTAGTTGTTGACAGCGCAACAGTTCGAAATGGTGGACGAGCCAGTGTTTTTCTATTTTGAGAAAGGTTGAAATTTGAAGTGACAGTGGAAAATACTTGACTGACTGTCGAATCTGAACCCTGCAGAATATATCCTTTTCTGATCGACCTACGACCTGTTGATTTTTATGACCGGCGAGTGTCGATCATGATATCACGTACGTGCCTCCAGTGGCTCCATCCCGCATGCGACGACAGAAAGGGGCGGTGGGGTAGCCCAGTGGTTAAAGCCTTGGCTCGTCACGCCGAACACCAGGGTTCGATTCCCCACATGGGTGCAATGTGTGAAGGCCACTTCAGGGACGAAGTGAATTTATAGTAATAAAGGGACACCATCCACGTTAAACCAATGTTATATCAATAGTTTGATGCACAAAAATTAATCTGTAAAAATATTCTAGGGGGCAGCTGCCCCCCTGCCCCCTTGGCTCCCTACGGCCCTGCACTTGTGGTGTCCCCCCGCGGTGATTTTAATGCAATATTGCTAAAAGCGGCGTAAAACTAAACTCACTCACTCTCTCTAAATATGACGAGGCCAGGGGATCGACGAACGCGCGACCTTCCCACTCTGCGATTAACTGTAAGCTATATGTCTGAACCCAAAGCCTCAATGGCGTCCAAAATAGATAATTGGTTCGTGTCTTTCGTCGTGCTTGAAGACGGCAAAGGCACATTCAATACATTAACTCCTAACTCCTTGTACAAACAAACTGTGCCTGAATATACCACGAACACTCACAGCTATATGTGAACCCGCAGTCCCAGAATACAGCGTACACAAAGTACCTGTACAAGAGCCAAATCCTTAAACCTCTGTAAACGTATAGGTTACAATAATCCACGGAACAATAGGCGTATTCAATGGACGGGAATCATTTGACCGACGATAGAGATCGTCCTCACGAGAAGTTGTGCTGAATTACGAATGGGCTCCACAACATGAGTGATATCTAAGATCCTCTAGCTGTGCAGGTGGAGGCCTTTGACCCCATATTTCATGGCTCTGTATGTTCACGAAGTGAATCGTGTGTACTGGGTTGGGCTGGCACGATCATGTCGCCAAAATACTTACCATATACATATAAGTTTGTGTATACCCTTGAGTATTTTTCGATGATCTAGCTTCACTAGTAGGTTGATCAGCTTTTGTGTTTTTTTGTTTTTTTGTTTTTTGTTGTTGAACGTCGTGCTTAGCAACATTGCAGCTAATTTTAGATGGCGGTAGTCGGTTAATAAATCGATTATTGACGAGGCAGTCCTGTTATTGACATCCCGATCATCGATCTACGCAATTGTGTTATGATTATAAGCATCTCACATGCCTCATGCGACAGACAGGTGGTTGCTGAATACCAATTCTACACGACATATGGTATTTCCGCTTATTAGAGTCCCGGGGAGCGGTTGGGTACAATGTGTGAAGCCTTTCTGGTGTCCCCGCCGTGATACTGCTGGAATATTGCTAAAAGCGGCGTAAAACCAAACTCACTCACTATTCGAGTCCCGGCGCTTATTAGAGAACCGGCGTTTATTAGTGTTTACATATACTTGTACTCATTTTCTAAAAATATACATACTTGCTAAAAAGACACATTAATTTGTTTGAGTTTCTTGATCAATGTCGCACTCAACCCTAGGACGGAGGTTTATATATTTGTGAAGGTTTAGACAAGATAAGTGTGTGATTGACAACATGAGTAGCAATCTACGCAACTGGCGTATACGATGACATGCATGATCTGACCATCCGATCTTTTTAGTTGCCTCCTACGTGAAGCATAGTGAGTATTGTCTCTTACGGGAAGGATAGTGGGCGTTGTCTCTTACGGGAAGCATAGTGGTGTCTCTTACGGGAAGCATAGTAAGTGTTGTCTCTTACGGCAAGCATAGTGTGTTGTCTCTTACGGCAAGCATAGTGAGTGTTGTCTCTTACGGCAAGCATAGTGAGTGTTGTCTCTTACGGGAAGCATAGTGAGTGTTGTCTCTTACGGGAAGCAAAGTGAGTATTGTCTCTTACGGCAAGCACAGTGTGTTGTCACTTACGGCAAGCATAGTGAGTGTTATCTCTTACGGCAAGCATAGTGAGTGTTATCTCTTACGGCAAGCATAGTGAGTGTTGTCTCTTACGGCAAGCACAGTGTGTTGTCTCTTACGGCAAGCGTAATGAGTGTTGTCTCTTACGGCAAGCATAGTGAGTGTTGTCTCTTACGGGAAGCATAGTGAGTGTTGTCTCTTACGGCAAGCATAGTCAGTGTTGTCTCTTACGGGAAGCATAGTCAGTGTTGTCTCTTACGGGAAGCATAGTGAG